ACAATATTATAAATTGCTGCTGTTGTAAATAGTTACTTTCTGTCACTGACCTTTCAAAGTGACCTCTCAATATAAAACTGAACTTTAAATTTAATTAAATATTGGGACTCTTTACTGGCAGCCAGTAAAGTTCCATTTACTGGCACTCCCAGGAAATGGAACTTTTTATTTAAAAATCTACAAATATTTTTACTAGGTTTTTCCAGAGCACTACTCTTTAAAGAGATGGAGCTACTGGGGTTAAATAGTGACCCAAAAATTGAACATTGAAGGTGCCAGTTAGAGATTTAGGATTACCCAAAATGTTCCGTAAAGATCTCTGTGGCACATGAAGAGCATCATGCTGTTTTTACATGGAAGCAGCTAAAGATGGGTTGGCTGAGCTTGATAACTGACTTTTCAGAGTGAAAATTGGACCCTGAGATTTTCCTCCAACAGAAAAAGTGTCCATTGAAGGCCAGATGCCCATATGTAAAAGGTGGAAAACTTCAACAATCCAATGCACAGTTAAAGGGCATCACCAAAAATTAGGGTGCATTTTCTCTTCTAACTGGCAGATTACAATTACAAGGCTGTTTACACATAAATATAAGCATGATCCCATAAGTTAAAAGTTATGGGAAACCAAACCATCCAAAACATTGTAGATGGTTTGGATGGAAATGATATATGGATGATATATAAACCTATCGTCCATGAACAGAGCCATACAACTACGGCCCACCTCCTGAAGCAGAGAACCAGCATGCCCAGCACTTTATGTTTGGAGTGAATAAAATTAAATGTCATAATATATTCAGGTTGAAATTAACTGTTTAGGACAGCAGCAATGAAATTGGCTTAGAGAAATGTTACCTTTAGGGAGATGCATTTTACACCAACCTGTTAGCAGTACTTTGAATAGGCCACATTGCTGAAAGAGTTACAGCTATGTTGTGTATCATTTTGTTTTGGAGCTCAGAAATAGTCCTAATTTGAACAGAAACTAAAGGAGTTTTGGATTTCATTAATTGTGAAACTGTTGTCTGACATTTCAAATAAATCTCCGGATATGTTAATTTTTCTCATCAACTACATCATGTAAAAAGAATTTTATTTGGGCTGACTGGGACCTAACCTTGCAATAATATTACATGCAATGTTAGAGCTCAGATCATAGAAAGTTAACACTATTGACTTTAAGCTGAAGATTTTCGAAAATTAAAATTCTTTCCTTCTGCATTTCTAAGCTCTAGGATTGAATAGAGAATACCAGCTGGAGTGCATGTTGCTGTGTGTGAGGCTATTCCTCATAGAAGATTGGACTCCATTTAAGACTCCCGAGTCCTGGAGTCACCTTTCCCACGTGCTGTTCCTATAGGCGGAACCTGGGAAGGCTGATACGTACCGCGCCCCTGGTTTTAAAAACACACTGTCCGTTAACACCGCAAGGTGGAACCAGCATGCCCAGGAAGCAGAAGAGTTCTCCGTTGATTCTCTACTGGTCTGTGTTGAAGCCTGGAAGTCTGCAAGTTTACTGACTCACCTTAGCTTCTCAGTGCAGAGTGAATTGCACAACAGTAGATCTCCCCCAGGAGGATGAGCAAAGGCAGCAATAACAAGGTGTTGCTACCCAATCATCCTCCCAGGGAAGAAGGACCTGGACCAGCTACAGCAAGCTGCTGCCTTTCAGATCTCCAGACAGCTGCTGGGATTCAAACCACTGCCCCTGAAATGAGAGCAAAGAGCAATTCTAGTGCCATCATACACCGCAAGACCTCTAGAATGCTCAGTATATGATCACATTAATAATGTGAGAGAACTTACCAAAAGCAGCCAGCAGGGGATCTTCTGTAATGGAGGTTGCAGCAGATAGCAGTTCAACAATGCACAATCCATTCTGACTCTTGGTGCTGATTTTCAACATGTTTCCAAATTTATTTTAAAGTTTGACAGAGGAGCTCATTTTGATGAGAACAGCATATGGTTAGTTCGGGGTTGCAGCAAAAACAGCTGTGCTAGAAACTAAAATATGAAGCCCCACCATGCAATGCATTCTGGGTAATGCTGAAGGACATTTCAATGTCCATTTCAGATGTTCAGAATGTTGTTAATATACATTTCTGGCTCCTAACAGAAGCTCAGCCATGAGATTAGATGATTTCTATGATTTCTGCCTTAAAAACCAAGCTCGAAGAAAAACTAAAATGAAATAAAACATGGTTAAGATAGCAGAAAAACAGAGGCTCATAAAATTCAAAACAGAGGCTCATAAAGGAGACTTTAAAGCTGAGCTGAGTTCATTCCAAAAAACTGAGTTTAAAAAATAAAAGGAGAGAAAATCTGTTTAAAACAGACTTTCAAAGTGGAAGATCAAGGTAAAACTCCCTCATCCAACATTAACTGTGAGACAATATTTTAAAGCAAAGCTGATTTTAAAAAATGAAGTTAAAAAAACAAATGAAAATGGAATACAATTTGGTTGAGGTAAGAGGCAACTGAGGCTAGACGAGACGTTCCTCGCCAGACTTTATCTAGACTGAAAAATGAATGAGAGTCTATGAGTTATATGAAAGGAGTGGGCTTGGAGCTCCAAACATGGTGGGCACCTGCAGAGCGCTGGAGGGAGAAAACGTGCCATGTTTGGTAAAATGAGCACTTATACTTCCTTTACTTCACTCATTTTCCCTTCTGTGCACCACCCAGGTCATTTGCCAGTTTCAGAACCCCGCAGGGTTATTACTTTGAGAAATAAAGAGATTTGGTGGAATATAAAATAGGCTTTAATGCTGAAAATGATAAAATGTTACAAGCCATGCAAGTCACACAAATTAAACTGAAACAGTGAGAATCTCCATCCAGCGCTGGGCGTAACTTCCACTTAAAGTTTTTTAGTTACTTCAAGTGAGAAAACTCATTTTTTGGTTTTTATCCTATATCCATAACTCTATCTGGAAGAATTTCTTCTGTTCACCAAAACAGAAAATAATACCAATACCAATTGATATAACTGAGGGCATTAACTAATGAGTTGAGGGCATTTACTGATCTGCTCTTATTGAAGAGAGCAGATAAGGACCTACTTTTACTTTTACAAATCAAGTTAGAGTGCCCTTCCACGGGGAAGAAGTTTGCACCCACATATGCAAACATCTTCATGGCACAATGGGAAACAGGCCCTTATGAAATGCATCAAAAAATGAAATTCTACTTTACATACCTGGATGGAATCTGGGTGATCTGGACTCAGCAAGAGGAAGATTTTAAACATTTCACTGAAACACTGAACACAAAAAATTCATCCATCATCCTCAAGCCTATCACCAGCGTTAAAGCATTAACCCTGTTATTTAAGCTGCACACCGAGTACTTTTCTTATGTAAAAGTGTCTTTTTGTGTTGCCCCATAAAAAAATATACTTGAATGTAGGAATGTCAGGAGTGTTCTTGTGTATATAAAAAAAAATCCCTTCTCATCCACCGCGGGTGGTTCTTATCCTCTGAGCCTCTACCAGAGGCCTGGGAGCTTGAGGGTCCTGCAGTATCTTGGCTGTGCCAAGGACTGCTGCACATTTCTGGACTGAGATGTCTGATGTTGTTCCTGGGATCTGTTGTAGCCATTGCTCCAGTTTGGGGGTTACTGCCCCGAGGGCCCCGATGACCACAGGCACCACTGTGGTCTTCACCTTCCAGCCCCTCTCCAGTTCCTCCCTGAGGCCCTGGTATTTCTCCAGTTTCTCGTGCTCCTTTTTCTCCATTACCATTCTGTCTGTCTGGATCTGGAAGTCCCACAGGATCTTAGCTCTGGCGTTCTCCACCACCTTTGGGGGTGTTTCCCACTTTGATCTCGGGGTTTCCAGTCCATATTCTGCACAGATGTTTCTGTACACTATGCCTGCCACTTGGTTATGTCGTTCCATGTACGCTTTCCCTGCCAAGATCTTGCACCCTGCTGTGATGTGCTGGACTGTCTCAGGGGCCTCCTTGCACAACCTACACCTTGGGTCTTGTCTGATATATATATATATATATATATATATATATATATATATATATATATATATATATATATATATATAGAAGAAGAAGTCCAGTTTTTAATAAATCCAGTGTTTCTGAACTTCATATTCAGTATCCCTGTTCTATTTATAAAAAACAAAACTGTTTCGGGAGACACCTGTAGTGGTTGTCATGGAAAAATTACTTTAATTTACTTTAAAATTACTTCACTCTGGATGAGAAATTTATTAAAACCTTATCAGGTGAGAGAAAAAATAAAAAGTGAAAGGAGTCTGTCAAGTCTGCTCTGAATAGCAGTGGAAGCATTTTTTTTTTTACAGGTTCTGTTCAGAGAAGAGAACCTTGATTGGACTTTATGTGTGAATATTTTGTAATGTACCAAAGATTCTGTGGAGCCCAACACAGATGGTGTTGCCGTTTGTCCATTGTTGTTCCAGGTTAGGAAGTAACACTACAGTGTCATAACAGTCTCCTTGAGACCAAAGACACTACAACGGTATCCTTGATCTTGCAGACTATGTGAGAGCAGCTTGATCAATCTCGTAAAACCTCTATGGGTCAGGATAAAATTAAAATGACTGGGTCAACCTCTGATGCTGTGGTATCGTCTGCAATGGGAGCCAGTAGCAAAGACAGTCACATGCAGCTGGAGCACACACACTTGGAAAAACAGCATAGTTATTGCATTTTTCCCAGTCAGTCTGATTGATAGTTAAAAGTGTGTCCATGGAGTTGCCATACATAACAGAAAAACAGCTATCATCCTAAACTAAACCTGTTCTTGAGATCTTGCTAACACACCAGTGTATTTTTGCATAGAATATATTCTGACTTTTATATCATCAACTTGTCCCTCCTGGGATCTGTGCCCTTCTTTGAGCATGTATGACCTGCCCTGACTCATCCAATAAGATGAGGAATCCAGTTGATTAGCACTTTCATTGATTACAATAAATATGCAGTTTTATAACTCAACAAAATACATTGAAGGATAAACAAATGTGCATACAGAGATGAATTTATTGTAAGACAGAGAGGCTGACCAAAATTTTTATATAAACTATTATGCAATATACAGAAAGTCAAAAGAGCCAGCATAAGTTACAAACTTTGGTACATTCTGGTTAATCAGACAGATTGTATATTCAGTAAGGGACATTTGTCTTAATGTGATAATTGATGAAAACTGGCATTTAGAGTTAAAAAATGCCCCCACTGGTTTTCAATGACTGACTTATATTCTTTCAAAGTGTAAACAAAAACAACACTAAAATAATGACTTATTTAAAGATACAAATATTTATTATCTGCTTGGCTGAAATCTTGCTTCTCAACCAACTAAAACAGAGGCAGCACCTACTGTCTGTAGTTGCATGGAGGTCCATCTGCATCAAGGATAGAAACAAGAAACTTTGGGCCTGAACATAAAACATCCCAAATAGAGAGCATTAACTTGCTTTTGCAACGGAAATTGTATATGCATATGTTGCAGGTGATCTACAAAGATTGTGTGCACAAATAATTATAGGTGCAAAAGTGGTGTAGACTATCCTATTTAAATGAAGATTCTGCATATGCTAATACAGAGTGGCATCATGGAGAGTGTTGGAGAGCAGAGTGGCCATACAAGTAATATGACGTTAAAAACCATGGAGTTATAAGAATAACAACTGGCATATTAATAAAATTAATAATAATGCACTTCATTCAAATAAGTAACAGCACAACAGTGGAAACTTTTAAAATCAATCATAATTAAAGCTATACATATCTGCATTCATTGACTTAAGCCAACTCAATCAATTCTGTTTGACAGTTTGCACATAGTGGAATTGATGCAGGATGAGGTATTCCTGCAGCTCCAAATGAGCATTTCTGGATGACATTTGTCTATATTTCACACTAAATATATCAATTTAAGTATTTTATTGAAAGCTGTTGAATGCATAGGATAAGTGATCTAGGAAGATAAATGAAAATACAAGATTACTTAAGTTCCTCAAGTTTTATGATTCGTTTTCTGTGTTACACTGGAAAGATCTCACCAATTTACGCCAGTTTTTACAACATCAGAGTGGAGGCTTAGGTGAAGATTCGATGTCAGTGCTCAATGTGAGAGCTCTAATCCTATGTCAGTTGCTCCTCCCTTTCAAACAACATAGAAGCCACAACAGACCTCCAATCTGATTTTGTTTCAATAAATCGCTTTGTTGGTGGTAAATCATTAGATTTTCAAAACCTCTGCCCAATCTTTTGCACATTCTGATTCTCTAAATATGTTCTGCATACTCATGAAGGCATGTATGTTAAATTATTATTTTGCTGACACAATCTTAGTTGTACCTGTAGATCAGGTGTGTGCCAGCAAGTTTGGATCTATTCAACATTCAGGCCCCGAGTTAATTTTGAAACAGAAAATACAAAGATAATTTTGGAAATATTTAGCAAATTTGTCTCTTACTAAATAACATCAGCAATATGCTAATGTAGAGTGGCATATTAGTCAAGAACCATTCCTGGAAATACTAGTCAGTACTTCCAGGTCCAGGAAGTACTGTGCTGTGCATTTCAGACTTGTGTGGTACTAGTGAATTCTGCAGCAGTGTACAAAGGCATGCTTTCTTTTTTAGTGCAAAATGTAATGAAGAAAACATCATGTAAATCTAATCTTGGAAGATGTTCCATAAACTGTTCTTGAATTTATAAAGATGATCTGACTACAATACAAGTCTGAGGAACATCAGAACTGAGTAATTGGTGTTTACAAACACAAGGTCTAGCTAGATACATTCTCCAATACAAGCACAAAGAAAAGTGAGAGTGCAAAAATGGTAAGGAGCAAGAAGAAAGGTGTTCAAATGCTTTTTACCCACTGTTTTGTAGAATAACCTTTTGTAGGAACTACAGCTGAATGTCTTTCATGATATGCCCCTTGTAGCTTTGCTCATGAAGTTTTTACCCATTTGATATTTGACTGCACTTTCACAATGTGATTCTAACCAGGAGTCTTGAACTACACTCCTCCAACTCAGGCTCAAGTCTTCTGTAACCTCAAACAGGTTTAGCTTCATTCATCAACTCATCAACTCTACTCCAGCAATGTTGAACCTGTTGAAGAAAGCAACACTTTTGCACCCCAAGCTTCAACTCCCTCATCTCCAGTTTGTGACAGTAACATTAGGCCACTTGGAATTAAGTGACACATTCTACATTTTACATGGTACAAATCAATTACAATTACATGGTACAAATAAATTACATTGTGGCTGAATGTATTCACATTGGGTAGTGTGAATGTGTAGTATTGACATTGATCCACAGCTGATTTAATTACTTATAGACATTTCACAGAAAGTGTATTGAACAAATAAATAAGTCCTTACTAAACTTCCTGGACTGGTAGAATAACTACCGTACATCTATCTGCAGAAGGAGATGAAACTTCTTCTGATCCATCTCAGAAGAAGGTATCTTGGAGAAAAAAGTGGGAAAATAAACTCTATTTTACTTGGACGTAAAGAACTTAGATTTCACCTGGGGATCCCCAATCAACAGTGTTTTATCACAACCTCTTGGTGCCGCACCAAACCCTGCTTTTAGATTTGTCACTGTTAGACAATGAATGAAAGTAATTCAGTTTTAATGGCTTCCGATTTAAGAAAAATGCTTATAGTACACATCCTCACATGAATACAATGTCAGAAAGTAACAGAGTAGTAAAGTACAGTGCTCCCCAAGACTCAATTTTTTGTCTATTTTATATTTATTGCCTCTTGGTCAGACTTTCCATCAATTTAACGTTTCCTTTCATTGCTTTACAGATCGTCCAGATTTATATGCCCCTTGAACTATAAAATTCTTAAAAATCTCTTCAGCTATTGATAGATTGTTTAGCTGAAGTCAAATCTTGGATGGAAAAAAACTTTCTTCACCTCAATCAAAGTAAAACTCAAGGTATATTATTTGGTAAACGTTTTCACAGATTCTTGGTTCTTTAGCTCAGTTTTGTCAGAGCTCTGCTAGGAATCTTGGTTTTATTTTTGATAGCCATTTAAAGCTAGTTAGCTCTGTTGTTAAATCAAGTTTTTAATCACCTGCAGATTTTAGCAAAAGTTAAATCAGATTTTTGTTTAAGGATTTTGAAGGACTTACCCATACCTTCATTAAAACTAGTTTGGATTATTTCAATTAATTTTCTAGTGGCATTGATTAATGACAGATGCACCAACAAAAAATGGTCCAGAACGCAGCAGCACAGGTTTTTACAGGAGCTAGGAAGCATGACCATTTAAGGCCCGTACTGGCCTCTTTGCAATGGCTTCCCATCTTACAGTGGACCAAGCATAAACTTTGGATGGGACCATCGTGAAATCAATGACTGCTGGATCCTCAGGCTCTGTCCCATAGGACTCCACGGTGAAGTGCTATGGGATGTTTTATTTCCATCTTTGCTTCATTCAGTTGCAGAACATCACTCAGACTACCCTGAGTGATGATGATCTTTAGGGGAAGGGTTAGGGATGATCTTTCCATTCAGAGAGAAGACCATCCCCTATTTCTTCCCCTTTAGTAATTAACATGTTATCTGTAAAATCAATACATTTTTGATCATATTTTACGGAGGCCTGGATTGATGACTTAAAGGGGACATATGGTGCAAAATCCCATTTTTTTAAACCCTAAATAATTTTTTTTACTTACTTTGGGTACAAAAAATGTGAATTTATTATCTCCCAGTGCTGCATAGGTATCTTTATACTCCCCAAAAATAATTCTTTATATTTTTCTTTCTTGCCTATGACGTTTTCTTGTTTATAATCACTGCATTTGCCGTGGAACTGCGAATGTGGAAACAATGTTATGATTTCTCATTGATCAGTTTGCTGAAGTTGCAAGTAGAAAAGTGAAAATGTTCAGTTCTAGCAATCAACTCATAAACTTGATTGCCCTCCAGCATCCAAGCCTCATGAATGTGTAAAATTAAATTCAGAAAAAGGAAACTGCATCAGAGGATTAGTGGGGAAAGTTTGTTTGCACAGAGCACTGAGGGCCGAGTGCTTCAGCAACCACCACCAGTATGAAGAGATTTTCTGAAAGACTTTGTCTGACTGAAGGTCAGCTCCTTCTATCTATAGAAACAAGGGACACAGCAAAGCGGTACGCTCCAAATAATGCAAAAATGACAACAAAGCTTATGTAAGACATGGATTTTGTGTGTTGATAATGATGACTTGGTCATTGGTTTGATTAGTCATTGTGCCTTCTGGTTCTCTTAGCACTGTGTGCTACAATTTAGCTGTCTTCTTCAGGATATAACTGTGCTGCATGTTTGAAATTTGGCTTTGTTTTGGCCATTTTTGTCTTGGGGAACACATGATCCTGTTAGCTAACTCATTAATCATGTCGAGCATTTGTTTACTTCATCCATATTGTGGTAGAATAGAATAGAATAGCATTTATTGTCATTGAACAGGATTCAACGAAATTTCTATTGCATTCAAATTTTAATAGGTATATATGAAACGCAGGGACACTATGGTTAAACTGTGCTCCATATTGTAGGTAGTTGGTATGGATTGAGAGGGTATAAATAGAGAAGAAAACCATTGCAATGTATTCATCTGTCGGAAAGGCTCTGGTAGTTTGTCTTCACATTATCCTGCTCCGGGTCAGACTCGGGCTCCAGCATGCAAGACTGGATGGACAAATCGTTTGTTGTTAACAACTTCAATAAACTTGGGAATAGAAGGTTACTCTGTTGGTAGATAACTGTATTGCTGGTATCAAACTACAAAAAGGGCAGAATGGGGTGGAGTGGAACACAGAACAGCCTGGAAGGGATATTTTAAAAACCCAGCAAAACAAGTTGCTCTAAAGATGCTTCAGAACAGGGTCTGTGCGGCTCCACTAATGAGGAATTCTGACCAAGCATTGGAGTTGTACTTTATACGAGAAAGATTTAGACGTAAAAAGAAGGGTTCAAAATGATATATCCAACTTTAAAGGTTTCTGTGTGTGGATGATTTTCTCCACAGATTGAATGATGAGCTTCAAATGCACTTTTGCGCAAAGGAAATGAAAATATCTTCCTACAACATGGCTGTGACAGGATGAAATAAAACAATATTTTCTAAAACACTAAAATGTTATTACTACTTTTGGTCATAGTGAAAATCTAACCTGTCGAAAACAAAATTATTCCACATTTATGAGTAACTATGACATTTGGAAAATAGCTTATAATCCGGAGATTTGTAGAGCAGCTGTTGTCTGTAGCTCTGAACAAATTACATGGTTGAAAATATAGGCAACCATGAACCAGTGATTAACTGATGCAATGAACTATCAATGTATCAGATTAGCTTATGTATCAGTTAATGCTTTTGATGTCTGTCTCTAACTGTAGCTTGTTTTCCTGTTAAAGATTTCATAATGCACTCATTTCTTCCAATGGCAGAAATGCATAGGCTTTGATGAGGATCCAATTATTTAGTTATAGTGAGAGTGTATTACACACTGAGGGATGTATGAAGACAGTTTTAAATCAAATTGAAAGGAGGTTTTACATCATGACATGAGGAAATTCAAATTCCGTCTAATGTTGACTTCAACCAATTAACACACAGTGATTAACTATTTTGAAGGCTACATTCAGATCCCTCCGAGAAAGAAAATCCTCTACTATCATGGAAAATATTAAAATTTAATATAAAATCTCTTAACTACAATCCAAAATCAACTGTTAACTTTTAGATTCAATTACAAATTCCCACAAATGTTTGAGATGCAGCATAAAGAACTAAATGCTTTCAAAAACCAACACATGCAGTTTCTAAATTTTGCAGCTCAAAATAATTGCTATTCTTGGTTCTGGTTTTGCTGGGCTTTTTGGAGCTTGTATTTTGGTAACTCATTGAAACTAAAAAAAAATATAAAAAAAAACTCGATTAGCTTAGCATTTGAAAAAAAAAACAAACAACTGACTTCCCTTCTGTAATGTGTAAAAACAGGTGTCTAAATGGTCAGGGCTAGGCAGCGCTGATGTCAGTCCTGAAGGCAGTGTAGGGCTTCATTTGTCTAGTCTTACAAGTGTAAGAGTGCAAAATAGAGGAGTGCAACATAAAGCATTTAACTTTTCAGTGGAGTCATTTGAAAAGGTCAGTCTTGATTTAAAATATCTGAGGCAAAGTGATTTTCAGGCTTAGAAGTGACACAGTCTATTCTCATCGGTCTATCTGTTTTTTTCTTGGACTTGATGTTACCTACCAACCAATCATTGAACATTAGCAGATGGTGCTTTTTAAAATGCTTTAAAACTGGGTAATTAGGTTTTCATCAATCAAGGCTTTTAAGTGACCCTTTCAGTAAAAAGCAGTTTTGGGTACACTGAAGGCTGATGAAAGGGCGATGTCTTTTCTTCTATTATGGCGTCCTCTCTTTACCAACAGCAGGCTCAAAAGTGCTGTAGAAAACTGGGCCAGTGGACAAAGACAGCATCTCATTCTAGCCCAAAGGTGCTGGTCTCTTCCACAGCAGTCAGCAGCTTCTCATACAACATGGAGAAGGACTGGTATGGTGGCAGGTCCAATCGATTGAAACATGTGTGAGCTCTGCGGAAGAAACCACAGAAAGCACAGCAAGAGATTAAAACTAGACAAAATTACCTTTGACAAGAAGTGACTCACTGCCTGCTCATACATACAGAAAAGTGCTGTCTATTAACTAGAAGCTCCACCTTGAAACTTCATTCCCCAGCTGAGATCCTACCACACAGATCACCCCTCCCTCACAGAGCTCCACCAGAGCAGCAGCAGCAGCAACTAACCCTTCACCTAGTGAAGTTTGCTGAGCTTTTAATACAAACTGCAATACGCCTAAGGACAGATGTATACGGCATAGTTGGAGAAACTTTGTGTGATGATATGCTGAAGGTAGATTGTGGGAAAGGGAGGGAAATTCTTGGACAGAAGCTAATTTCAAGGCATCGGATGTTGTGAAGTTCAATTTTTTTCACTTAACATTTTTAAGTTGTTTTTGAGACATAAAGCATTTTCATAACTGAAGGTAATTGATTGTACTATAAAAGGACACTATGTGTCTGGTAAATGTACATAACGTCAGAATGACAGTGGGGATGTGTGTGAACTCCCTGGAAGAAACTAAAGGGACTAAAAGAAAAGTGAAAGCTGTGGATAAAAAAGGAAATGTCACACCACCAATTTAGCAGTATTTCCAGATATTTCAAACTTAAAACTAATTAATAATTATCAATATCAACCAATATGAAGTGCTGATATTTTTTTGAAACATTTTCAAGCCATATTGTCCAGCCCTACTGTGAACATTGTAGACGTTCCCATAAGACCAAAAAGAGCAACATAAATACAGTTTTTTTTTGTTGTTATTCTTAAAAAAACCATTGAACCTCGTTAAGAATTGCAATTCTAATTCTCAAAGTGTCTTTTGTTTCAAACAGCTGCTGAAATTGATGGATGGTCCAAAGAAATGATTCGATTATCTGAATCAGGGTCTTAGATCTGAGGACTAAAGTTTATCAGCTCTAAAATGTCATCAAAATCAGGCACCTGGGCAGCGAGGTAATCTTTCCCCACTTTTCCACACAGAACCTGCGCGGTCCATTGCTGCCACGCAGTGAAGCGAAGCCCTCGTATGGAATGCTTGATGTTCCCGTCACAAACTCAATCGGTGGAGAAAAAGAGGGACCAGAATTAGTGTGAAAAACAAACACATTTCAGTTAAAGTCTCTTTATTTATTATTTTGTCTGAAAAGTGAATCTCATTATAAATTCCTTACAAATTATTCAAAGATTTTGGATTACAGTCAAACTTCAGATTATCAGAGAATCTTTCGATTCTTAAAACAGAAATATTTGTTGGGGCATATTTCTTATATGTCCAAAATACATCACTCCATGAACATTAAAAATAAACTTTCTTTACTTTTTGAATAAAATTATCTATATAAATATTCTAGTATACTAATATTTAGCTTGGCATCTTGTGCATTCCCATGTACAAACTAGCCTACCTGCAAGAGTCTTAATCTCTGCTCATTGTTGAACCGCTCCACTGCAGCCCAGAACCACCGGATCACAATGTGGTTGTCATGGTAACCTGAAAACGACACACCGGGTTGTATCATTATAAAATGGGTCCATATACATATGTCATATTAAAGTTCCATGCTTTTCAGTACCGGAGACTTCCCAGTTGTTCTCACCAAGTTAAAATCCAAAACTACAAATATGGTTCAGTGTATGCAGGAACATATGGTTCCATATGTATGCAATTACATATGCAACCAGAAAAAAGCAGAAATTGACAGATGGAACTGAAAGAAAGGAAGGAGACTAGATAAAGAGGAAACACACAAGGAAGGAGTGAAAAAAGAGAAAGAACAGCTGAAGCTGGATCATGGATGGAACTAAATTTTATTCGCCTTAATCATAGCAAAACTCAACTCGTTATTTGGTCAAAACCTTCCACTAAAAAACCAGACTCGATACCTGGTTCTCTAGCTCCGTTTTGCCGGATTTCAGCCAGGAATTGTGGTTTTATCTGTGATAGCTGTTTACAATTCCACAAACAAGTTAGTTCTGTTGTTAAATCAAGTTTCTATCACTTACGAATTTTAACAAAGATAAAATCAGATTTTTTTTTAAGGATTTTGAAGGAAATATCATGCCTTCATTACATCTAGTTTGGATTATTCTCATTTGTATGTAAAGGGATGGATGAATCACTGATACAGCGTCTTCAAGTGATCCAGAATGTAGCAGCTCGGCTTCTTAAAGAAGCATGACCACAAAAGTTCAATATTGGCCTCTTTACACTATCTGCCTGTTCCATATCAAATAGATTTTAAGACTCCTTTAACTACTTATAAAGTTTTAAACAGGTTAGGTATTCCTTATTTTCAGGACCTTTTGATTCCATGTCCAGAACTTTAAGATCACACAATCAGCTGCTACTGAAAGTCTCTCGGACTCGTCTTATGAGAAAAGGAAATCGGGTTTTCTCCTTTGCTGCTCCTGTTCTATGGAATAATCTACCTTTCCCGATTAGATCTGCCCACACAGCCTGGGTAATCTTAAATCGCTTCTTAAAACTCATTTTTATTCTTTGTCATTTAATTGAGGCCTGATAAGCGGTTCATTGCGGATCAGGCAATGGACTGATACGCTACATTGTAGCTCTTCTGTTGTGGTGTTTTTATTTTAGTTACTAATTATTACTCTTATTATTTTAATATGTTTTTTCTGGGATTTTCTGATCCTTATCTACTGATTGAATGATCAATTTTTGTTCAGAATTTGGTGCAGTTTTAAACGCGTTTTTAAAGTGCTATATTAATAAATTTGACATAGAAACAATTAAGGAATGAAAAGAGGAAAATGGAAAACACTTATTTATGAGGGAGTCACAGAAAAAAATTACGGGACAACTGAAGAAGTGAAAGAAGTACAAGACAGAGGAAGAAAAAGTGATGACAGGTAATTAAGAAAATATACAAGAAAGGAAGGACACAAGGAATAAAGGAAAGAAGGAAGAATAGGAAATAAAGTCTGTAAATTTCCATACTGTAATTTCTTATTATTTGATCCAGAAGTGCAAAAAATCTAAATCTAAAGCCATAATCTTCCAGACTGTGTTTCAGCTAGAAGGAGGATAAGCCACTCTCATTTCTAAGAAAACATTTAACATTTTTCAGAGATTACTTTACTGATCCCTGTGTACCTCCTCTGTATTCAGTATTGCTCCTCCAGTCTGATAAGTCAATCTCAGCAGTGCCAGCAATGACCAGCTCCAGCTCCCTGGCATCAAACACAGAAACCAACCTGGCATCCACCACCTGAAGAAAAAAATGTGTTGTAAAGGTAATAAATGTCCTGTAAGATTGTAATGTATCTAACAAACCGTTTTGCTTTTACGGAGCTGACACAACCCCACCTCATAAAAACCTCTGACCAGGCTTTCAGTCTGCTGGACGACTCCTCGCTCTATCCTCCACTTCACCATCCGGTCGATGTACTCTTTCTTGTTCTTCTCTGAGACAGGGATGTTCCCTCCACCAGGTTTCAGCTCCCGTTCCGTGATCTACAAAAAGCATGTTTAGCTCAAAGCTAAATCAGTGTTTGAGTCTGAAAGTCAGACAGAGAGATGTAATAATGCTTTAGCCACTTTCAAAAGCAGAATCCACAAGCTCAGTGGAGCTCAGTTTGAGAAGAAAGGGTGCACTGATAAATTGGCCCCCAGTTTCCTTAATTTTGGGAGATCAGCAATCAACCGTTGTTTTCAATTGGAATTGGCAGGTCTGGCTTTTTAAAGATAAAAAGCCGGCATTCAGATCTGGAAACCTGCACCCCAATTGGAAACATCAGCAGTAAAGTTAAGATTGGAGAAGACAAGAGTATTCACCAAATTTACTCATTGAATTTTCACTCTGACAGGTTAAATGTGACTTATCCTCCAGTGTGTCTAATGTGTTTTTTTTTACTAATGTGATATACTACAGAACAATATATTTTTTTATTAACTCAAACACAAAATATATCTTAATATGCATTAATGCACGCAGCGGAAACAGTTTTAGCAAGACTGCAGAAGCTACAGTTTTATCTCTTGTCTTGAGGGTAAAGCCAATCATCGCCAAGAAAATTGAATGGCAGTCTTGGATTGGCAGCTTTGCAAACCCCATCCAATAGTTTGACAAGCAGCATTGCACCTGTAGGTTCTTCATCTTTCCAAGCTGCATTTTATTTTGAGCATCTAGCAAATAATCTACAAACAGCTAATTTGTAGTCTGCAAATAATATGGAGTCACATTACACAGAAGAAAATATTTATGATGGGGTTCTGTGGTGGTGCAGGGGTAAAGGGTCACAGTCACAGTTTTGAGAAGCTCTATGTCTTATTACCTACTTTTCTGTCTAACTGCTCTCAAATAGACTATCTGAGCCAAAAAGCATTAAAAGCAGTATACTTGTGACCAAAAACTTTATTTTATTATTTTCTAATTGATCACTTGTTAGCAAGACAGCAGTAAGTATTTCAACATGTCTGCAATCTCAGAGTCTGACCTGTCCAAACACTTCCTCATTGACAGTAAAGGTGAGGTCAAGCATGTCTTCTATATCATTGTCTTTCATCCACTGGAGAGACTGATGGAACTCCTCATCCAGATATTCAAGGTCACTCAGATCGCAGGGACTGGAGAAAGGAAAAGACAAACAATGAATGACTGCACTCGTGAGATTTTCGGGCTTCCAGTGAGCGTAGCCTTACAATAAAGAAACTGTAAACGTATAAAATGCATATCGATGAATGCTTTTTTTTAATGTTAGGGTTAATTCTGGGTAAACATACATGCGCAGAAGGCCTTTATAGAAGGGTCTGGTGAAGAAGGCATCCAGCAGATACTGATGAATCAGAGCCAGACCCAGAATGCGGCCACTGAAACGGAACCTGTGGCATAAAAACAAATGGATATTTGGCCTCATGACGAATGAACCCAAACCTGAGGGATATCAGTGTGAATGTTTCCAATGTCTCTGTAACTGACGCTGCACTGTCTGATAATTTTGCTGTTATCTTTGAAAGCACAATCAACATTGACTCATTTAGCCAAAAGGCTACTATCAAAACATTCTTTCACAGACAACACAGCAGAAACATTTCATCAAATCTACTCTTTGCCCATAATCTTTACTGACATACATAACATCAGCTACAGTGATGTAGAGGAGTTGGTAGATAATTTCCTTTCTAAAATTTCAGGTATCATTGATTTCATTGCCTCCACTAAAGTGAAGATTGTGTCTGATAGGAACAAGTCTCAGTGGAGAAATGCACAGTTCGATCTGCAAGACAACAATGCCTTGGTGCCGAATGCAAATGGTGTAAAATTGAACTTCCCGTTCATTATGAAATCTACAAAGAAATACTGTGTAGCTATCACTCAACACTAAAACATGCAAGCGAAACGTTCTTGGCAGAATTCATAAACAAAAATATTACCGATACTTGAGCTTTACTTGCAACAGTTGACAGGATGACTGCACCATCTGAACTGCAATCAATGCAACATTCAAGCAATTTGCCAACTTCTCTGAAGAGAACATTTTTAAAAAAATCATAGGTTTAATCTGCACATCCACACTAAATCGAGAACTAATGCTGTGCCCAAACAAAACAAATGCAGAAATAAAATGACTCAAGTTCAAAAATGTATCTATGAAAGCTGAGAAGAAATTAGAAATCAGTTAAGCTCAAGTTCCTGCTATATGGGTATCCAAGCTTTCTTTGAAAAAGTTCCGCCTATCATTACAAATGATCTGATCCTAATTAAAATGATTAGAAACTGTTTAACTCTTCACTGTGCAGAGATGACTTTTAACTCAATGATCCTCTCCCAGCTACTGTCTGTTCTCAGATTTGTCAAACTATACTGAAACCATTAGCAAGTCTCTATAATCAGCTTTTAAATATTTTACATCAAAAGCCAATCAGATTTGGGATCTGCAGTTTGGAACTCACTTCCTGTTGATTCAAAGTCTGTAACCAGTTTTAGTACGTTAAAAAAACAAACAAAACTCTGGTTATATCGAAAACAAAACTTTATCTATGTGTAATGTTTTATGATTCACTGTTTGTTTGTAGATGTTGTCAACATTATGTTGTGCTATTTTAAATTAGCACTTTGATTTTTAAAGGTACTTTTTAAAAGTCCATCTAGGGACAATTAGCTGTTGCACTATGATGCAAACATGGGGCTGCCGTTTTGTTCAGTTTGTCTATGTCTATGTGTATCTGTCCCTACCAAATAAACTTAAATAAATAATAGTAATCTTGTCACTCTCGTCAGGCGTTTTACCCCAGGCTTTGCAAACAGTAGGTGTCAAATCACAGACAAAAACAAACAGGCCAAGCTCCAACCTCCCATTTATCAGCAAAGCTATTGAAAAGTCTGTGTTTAAATAGTTAAATAGTTTCCTAACAATAACCAACCGCTTTGATGTCTCTCAGTCTGGTTTCTGGGCTCACCACACTACTGAGACTGCCTTTGAAAAATGGGTTCAATATGAACTATGGACAATGGAAGAACCACAGTGCTTCTGCAGCTTTTGATACTGTTCACCATGACATATTACTGGAATGGCTGGAGAGTTGGGTCGGATTCTCCAACCCAACCAGTATGCAACTGGTATCCAACTGGTATGAATCTTATAAAAAGAACAGGGATTTCTTTGTTTTTCCACTTCTCACCCAAGCTGACAGAAGTCACATTTCAAGGATTACAAGACCATTGTAATCATTGGTCTTGGCAGCATCTAGAGAAACTCATCCATGTGTTTAGATTTAGTTGCATCAATTACTGCAACAGTGTTTTCTCAGGTCTTCAGCTGCAGCTGATCCAGAACGCTGCTGCTCCCGTTCTCACTAAAACCAGGAAGATAAACAACTAAAACAACTCACCAGTTTTAAAGTCCCTCCACTGCCTCCCTGTAGCTCAGAGAGTAGACTTTAAGATATTGCTAGTTTAGAAATCACTGAACAGCTTAGCAGCACAATACAGTAAAGCTCTGCTGTTGTATCAACCTTCCAGACTGTTCAGTTCTGGGGATGCAGAACTGAGCAGACTAGTACCAGAAGCAAACATGGAGAAGCAGCATTCAGCTTCTATGCACTGCAAATCTGGAACAAACTTCTACAAAATTGAAAAACAGCAAAAACATAAAATCTAGACTAAACACCCGCTTGTTTGGAGTTACTTTTGAAAGAAAAATGAAACTTTAATCAATGCAATGACAGCAAAATGTAATGTTTCAATTGCTGACTGTCTCTTCTATGACTTTGTGTTTTTATAATGTAAAGCACGTTGAAATACCTTGTTACTGACCGTTCTATACAAATAACATTTGATTTGATTTGAAAGTGACCTCTTAGCTGTCTACTAAAAAAAGGCCAATGATGCCCAGATTACAATGATTAAATTCCAAGACAACATCAGATGTAAATAATTATGGTACAAGTAATAAATTATGCAGTTTTACTACAAGTTGGCCCAGTCTGTTGGAAGAAAATGTTCTTTGACTGGACTGAGCCAATAAAATTGTAGAATGGCACCGCCACCTTGAGCAGTCTTTGTCTAGAAGTCAGGTGAAGAAGTAGCTGGAGAGACTGAACCAGAACAAGGCTGCAGATCAGCTTGTGAAAGCAAAATGCTTGCCCTGCAGTCTGCTCATTTCTCTGGAGTTGAAGATGCCATCATATATCTGCTTCAACATGTAAGCAGGCAGCACTGTGAGAATTATGTTCTTTAATTTCTCCAGTGCATTTAACACAATTCAGTCTGATTGGCTCTGTCAGAAACTCCACAAAAAACAGGTGGAGACCTCAACAGTCACCTGGATTAATTAATGTCTACCTGATAAACAAAACACAAATCATGACTGAAGGGTCGTGTTTCTGACCAGGCGGCGAGAGGCACAGCAGCACCACAAGGGTCTATACTCTCGCCATTTCTTTTCACTCTGTAGACCTCAGACTTTTCCAATCTTCTATGTAAGATTAAAATGGGGCATCAGAGCTAGCATTGGACCATGGAACCATTCCTCCAGGCTGCTGAAATTCGCAGAACTTCTGATAACTCTCAGACATGCATCAGTTATATTATGGTACATTCATTTTAATACAATTTGTGTTTTTGTGTTTGTGTCAATTATTACCATTCATGATGATTGTCTACAAAGGCCGACATGGGGCTGATCTGCACGGTGTAGGTGTCATTGGCTGAATATTCAAACAGACCATAATATGGGTTGAACAATTCCCTGGAAACCAGGAAGAAGAACTCCCTAGAAGGCCCGCTGTAGTCCAAGCTGTAACAAACACACACACACACAGATTAATGCTTAAACCTCTTCTCCTGCACTTTTTTTTCCAAGATTGGTTTCCACCTCAGTTACTCACCCCTCCTCCCCAACAAAACTGACGTAAAACTTGCTGCGCTGCAGATCCTTCCGGGAATAGCACATGATCTGGTTGAAAGCATCTTCTAAGAGATGGTCCCGACGGATAGTCACTCTTTACATGCACAAAAATGAACATGAAACCCAAACTATAAGCCCAAATGAAGTGAGGATGTATAACAAGATCCACACAGATATAAATTCAGCTCACTTTAGCTTTCCAGGGCCTTGTCCATAGCCTTTAGTTTCCAGTTTTCTGTAGAAGTTGCGAAGTTTTGCCTCAAAGTCTCTCTTATAAGGAGCTGGGGCTCTAGCATTGGCTCGCTGAGTTCCTACAGTGAGACAGGAAGAGGGACTGATGGGTAGTTTCAGGAAAATTTTTTTTTTGTATTCGCTAATATTTCAGTAAGATACCTGGTGAGTTCTGTGGGGAGGAAACAGGGGATCCCCGAGGTGACTGGCAGTAGCTGGGGAGAAGTAAGGCATGAGGAGGGACATAGGACATCACTTCATCTTCAAACAGACTGCAAGGGGAGACAGAAAGAAAGACTTAAAGTACTGAGGCAATACAACAGAGGAATTTAATTATTTGAATTTCTTTCTTAGACAGATACCCAGTTCCTCCATTATTATTATTATTATTATTATTATTATTATTATTATTATTATTATTATCGTCACAGTTCTGATTACAGACACTCTCAGTGAGTGCTGGTTGGAGACATCCTCAAAGGAACCACAGGTGGCAGAAAAAAAAGGCCAAAATTGGGATTGCCAAATCAGGCTTTTACAGACCAGTAATGAAAGGTTGACCAGAAAAGTACAATCAATGCATCAGTAATATGCTGGCGGAGTTGAAAAATCCCTGCGGTACATCAGGATATTTTCCCTTCTTCTCATGTAAAATAATTTCAGCACATTTAAAGCCAATGCATTATTACATTGTAATTGATGTATACTATTATTACATTCTGATATTAGTCTGGCTCCTCATTATGCCCGTGATGAGGCAGCTCAGCAGGCAATAGACTCCTGCTATCAATTCAAGCTATTACTGGATTATTGTTGCCCAGAAGGGTTGCATGAAGCAAAGAGTTCTATCAATGTCTGATAAGCATTATGTGGTAAGTAGGATCATATTTGGGGACCAGATTTGGATCACGAATCTCGTTCATCCCTTCATGCGCGTCACTAATTAGATGATGAGGCATTTGGCTATTGAGGCAGGCTTGTCCGCAAGCCTGCCGAAGCATAAAGCTTCTGGCAGACCTATCAAACAATCTGCTTTCCGGCTTGAAATGTGGCCGTCACGGATCATCGTAGTGCTGCACAAGATGAGTATAATCATCACGAGCCCCACTGCCCCACACAATTTCATGGCACCGCAGCCATGGGGGATGTGGAAAACACACGATACCTTCACGCAGCAACTCCGGGTAAACTATTTACACTCACCCAATCAACCGCCTCACCGTGCTCACCTTGAGCCCGGGTGCGCAACTGTGCCCCATAACCGTCCCATAACAGGCTACCCCCCCCTCCACCGATTCAAGTCTAACCAATTTCGGCTAAAAGAGGACCCGGGACGGTGTTGGGTTCAGCGCAAGTAATGCACACAGCACTACAGCGACGGTAAAATCAAGCTGTGGCACCCCCTAACTAGGTGCCACTGAGGCTCCAAGGAAGCCCGGAAGAACAGTGTGTCACCACGATGTTGGCCCTGCTCCCAACCGCACCGGCATCCCCTCTGTTGAGCCAGCGGGATGATCCTGGCTTATGACCGAGACTACCAGAGTTGGCTGGTCAGGCACAACTCTTCCTGGGCTGGTTGATTTGGCTGGAAAACCGTTACCAGCGGGACCACGCGGAGGTACAACCATGTAACTACTGCTCCTCGACCTGGGGGGCAACAAGCCCACTGTCACCCCCATTTTGTGACTGAGGACCCTCAGAAGGCAAATCCCTTCAGAGAGTCATAGTTACTCCCGCCGTTTACCCGTGCTTCATTGAATTTATTTACTTTGACATTCAGAGCACTGGGCATCATTTGGAGAATGATAACAATTAGGCAGGGATGGAAACACATAGACAGACAATGGGGATAGAACAGCAGAGAAGTCTCACCTCAGCAGCATGACAAGGTCCGCATCTCCTGACAGTCGGGCCAGTCCTGACACGCCATCTGTGCGGATCAGCTGGACCTTCTCCCTGATACCAAATCAAACATTCTATCAACAGGGATTTCTCCTTTTTAATTTGCATTTTCTAATTTTATATATATCTATATATAGATATCTATATATAGATACATAAAAAAAAAGAAATAAATTCCCTTCTCACCCACCGTGGGTGGTTCTTATCCTCTGAGCCTCTACCAGAGGCCTGGGAGCTTGAGGGTCCTGCAGTATCTTGGCTGTGCCAAGGACTGCTGCACATTTCTGGACTGAGATGTCTGATGTTGTTCCTGGGATCTGTTGTAGCCATTGCTCCAGTTTGGGGGTTACTGCCCGAGGGCCCCGATGACCACAGGCACCACTGTGGTCTTCACCTTCCAGCCCCTCTCCAGTTCCTCCCTGAGGCCCTGGTATTTCTCCAGTTTCCTCGTTGCTGGCTTTTTCTCCATTACCATTCTGTCTGTTCGATCTGGAAGTCCCACAGGATCTTAGCTCTGGCGTTCTCCACCACCTTTGGGGGTGTTTCCCACTTTGATCTCGGGGTTTCCAGTCCATATTCTGCACAGATGTTTCTGTACACTATGCCTGCCACTTGGTTATGTCGCTCCATGTACGCTTTCCCTGCCAGTATCTTGCACCCTGCTGTGATGTGCTGGACTGTCTCAGGGGCCTCCTTGCACAACCTACACCTTGGGTCTTGTCTGGTGTGGTAGATCTGGGCCTCTATTGCCCAGATCTATATATACCCATATATAGACAAGGTCCATATATATATGGATAGATAGATAGATCTATCTATCTATCTATCTATCTATCTATCTATCTATCTATCTATCTATCTATCTATCTATCTATCTATCTATCTATCTATCTATCTATCTATCTATCTATCTATCTATCTATCTATAGATAGATATATCTATCTATAGATATATATATTATTTTAAGAAATATATGAATTTCTAAATTAAAAGTACTTTAGTTTATTTTGAGTTATCTCTAATATGTCTTGGTATTTTACTAATACAGTTAGAGCACAAACTGTGAAAAGTCAACTACTTTGTACATTTCAACAAAAGAATTTGGAGGAAAATGGAGGAAGATTGCAAACTTGAGATAACATCTCAGATATTTTGAAGAACGTGAAAATATGGAAGCAGCACCTCAAGACATCAGCCAGGGCACAAATTGGTCTTCCAAATGGAGAATGTCCTTCAGCATACAAATTAGCAACATACTACATTCATGCACACCCCAATGGTGGCAAGCTACATCGTCGCCACTGCTCCCTTGGGGCAGTCTGACAGTCTGCCATGAGCTCACACTGTGACATATTACATTGAATTTAAAAAGGAAAGAAACTGATGCAAAACATCGTAACCATGAAAGAAGACATGTTGGTATACCTGAGTATATGGTTTCGGCTGAAGTCCGGCTGCCTCTCCTGCAAAATCTCAAAGATGTTTGGTTGTCGAAGAAAAGCCACAATCTTGTCATTATAAGCTAAATGAGATAAGAAACAAGCTGGTCAGTTTTATTTGTTTAATTAAAGAAATATACAAAGATTAAAAAGTTAAAAACGTGGTACCTGACATGTCGCAACCTGAATTATGGACTGACTAACTGTTTCTGAAGATAATGTTATGTTTTAGTTAATACTAATGTAGGTATTGATTTCTGTGGATGGAAGAAGTTACCTGTTTGGGTTAAAAGTTTCGACTTAAAGCTGACAGAAATTATTTGGATGTTTTAAGTGGTGTCATATTTATTTTTCTTAATTTACATTATTAATTACAGCTTACATTATGCTTAAATTCGGCATTTTATTTCAACATATATTTCCTAATAGTTGTCCAAATGGTTTTACTCACACTTGTTCTTTTGTTTGAGGTGCTGCCAACAAATACCAGCTGGAGGAGGAAGCCTGGAACATACTTTTTTTTTCTAAAAGACCGTAGGGGGCGGGGACTTTGTTTTTTAAAGTTGATTTTAATTCTTGAATTTTGTCACTCAAATATTGACTTATTATCATTGTTTGTGCTAAGCTCGAGCTAGTTTTGCTTCATTTATTTCATAGGATGTTTTAGGTAATTTTGCATTTGTTAGCTCCTTTGTTATGTTGTGCCTCCCTCATGTGGTGGATTTAAGTTACTCCACTCCTACGTAAGCAGCAGCCTTTAGTTCTTTGTTTGCAGGTCAGTTTTGTTTGTTCATTTAGTGTTTGGTCTACGTCAGGTAAGTTGGGCCCAAAACAGTTATTTCTCATTTGACTTATTTTTTGATGAAACTTGATGTTTTGTTAACCAATTATTAAATTGACATTTTTGGCCATATTGAACAACTTTTGTCCTTGTTTAAGTGGTCCCTGACAACATCACTAAAAATAATTGAAAGCTGGTCCCATATTCTCAAAGAATCCTAGGGCTAAAGTAGTTGATGGGTAAAATGGAATGAATATTTAATTAATTTATGTTGTTCCATCAGATTAAGGTTGGGCTCACACTGTGGTCTGAAGAGACAATTTAGATTTTTTTTTTTATTTATTTTTTTTTTGTAATGACGGTTCACAGTTCCAAATATATGCAACCTATATGTGTTCGCCAGTGAGAATGGGCAATCGCCCTAAAAATATCCTGCATGCGAAGCAGAGGGCACAATAACATCAGCGTTCTCAGTGTTTGTGGAAGTAAACCTGGATTCTAACGGTGGAGTATAACTTACACATTTGAAGTTCTTGTCCGACCGGAGCCAGCATATTAACAACTTAATTCTCATTATAGTCCATTATACTTGTTTTTCTTCTCGCTTGCTTCTATCAGGACGCAGAATAGGGACATTTGTCGAGTATCACTGACATTCAGGTTAGATGAATGCGACCTGGTCGTTAGGTCACATTCGAATAGGATATATATCGGATACCTAAGTATCCTGATCGCATTAAAAAAGAATCCGACTTGTGGTGTTCAGACTGTTATGAAAAGATTGGATAAACGTCAAAAAAAGAAAAAAAAAATCTGAATTTTGTTATTCAGGCTGCAGTGTGAACGCAGTCTAATATTTCATCCAGATCTCATCGGAACCCAACTTTTTGTAAAATGACACTATGAGTAGTGACGTAATTTTTAGAATTTCTGGAATTTCAAGATTTTTCTTAGAATTTAGACTCTAAGATTATAATTAGTTACAAACATTTCAAAGAGTTTCTAATACAAAAAAACATTAGGAGCAGTGAGGAGGAATTTTAGTGAGCCTAAGAGTGTCTTAAGCCGGGAAGACTGACTGAAAAGATAACCTACTTCAAAAAGAAGAAATATGAAAGCTTTTTAGTAAGAATTTCTCACAAAGCCTGGATTTTAACTGTCTGAGTGAATGTGTGCTTGTCTGTCTGTATTATACTGACCCACAGGGACAACCTCTTGGCACTGCCCCCTGCTGGCTGAGGTGAAGGTACTTGAAGGTCGTGGCAATACTGGAGGACCAGGGTGATGCGTTTCTTCACCCACCTGTATAGAGAGCAGGACATACAAAAAACAATGAGACATAGACAAAATATTAATCTGACTCCACAACATGATATAACAAATAAATATTCAGGCAATTTCGCCCATCATCTACATCTCTTAATGCTAGGGTGCCTGTTTCTTTTTCAAACTGTTGTATAAAAAGATTGCTGCCCTTAAACACTGTTCTTCTCTCCTTAACAAGGGAAGTATTAAACTGTGTTTCCATTATAAATGTGCTTAAAACTTTTTCAATTTTCTTCTAATGTAGAATTTTATTTTTCCACAATTATGGTGATTCCATTACATAAGAAAAGCAATTAAAGGTTTGTGCATGCAACAAGTCATTAAAAGACATGTTACATCTTGGACTTCACACTCCTATTGTCCAGTGGTAACATCCAGCTGTTGGTCAAGTGACACACGTGACTGTAACAACGTTTCCATTCCAGTTTTACAAGATAAATAAATTTTATTGTGGCCAAAAACACAACTCATCCTACCACCAAAACTTTTTATTGGCAACTGAGCTTTTCTGTAATAGATGCGAGCAAATTGATTTTCAAAATACTAAATTGCATAATTATATGGTCAATGAAAACAGAGTTAGTGACTATATTTCTGCATCACTTAGGGTCTAACTCTAACTCTAGTCTTAAACCAAGAGAGTAGATGGGTAGCTTGGTTTTGCACTTTATTAGTCATTAGAGGATATCCATTTCTTATGAACGAGTTTCTACAAACATATCCTGGCTGTGAATTGTGTGAAATGATATTTGGCTAGTTTGATTGGTACAGATATGATGAGCTCGCAGTCAATCGTCTTCATTTGCTTTGCTTGTATGTGTCAGTTGCATAATCAGCTCAAAACCTCATGAGCTCTTGTTATCTGATGTCAAAGAACAGTGAAAATGTGAAGTTTCTTCAGTCTTACCAGTTGCCTTGGACTGACCTCTCCAGCACTGTGACTACGTTGTCGAGTCAGATGTTGGCGGTGAGATAGAAGGCTTGGACGAGAGTTCTGAACAGGTAGCCGAGGGTCAATGAAGGTGGTAGCACGGCAGTTATGATCCACAAAGAAAGGCTAAATGTGAACAAAATGTCATAAATTTCAGTTGTTGAGATCTGTAACTGTTAAGACAAAGTGACTAATTGTTTCTCAGCCAGACCTTGCCACTGTGGTCATGCTTCATCTCCCAGCCTCTGGGCAGCTCTAGCTGTTTATTCGCAAACATGTTGAGAAAAGCCACCAGGTCACGGTTGTGCTGGTAGCGCTCAAAGTGGTGTGCATCTCTGCGAACCTTACTGATCATATGCTTCAGACATGTGTTTGTGGTAAACATGCGATAGGCACTCTGAGTTCACAGGGAGAAGAAGAGGAACAATCAGAGAAATTAATGATCAGTGTACAGTTATTAGTAAAATTAATGTTTGGTAAAGTATAAGATACTGTGACAGTGCCTGGAATTCAAAGTCAACCCTATACATTTAAATACAGTTTACTTTATAAAAAGGTTGTATATTTGATATTAAACATTTTCTGCTATAGGTCAATTGGGAAAATTATTTTTTACATGGAAAATGCAAAATGAACATTTTATTTACATTCTTTAAAGGAGCAGCACTGTGTTATTCATGCACATAGTGCCATTTTATAGGATTGTCAACTAAATATGTTAACTTCAGTTATTATAAAAATGCTATATTTTTATCAATATAACTTCAATAAATTTGACGTTATAATTTAACCCGCTGAAATTGGGCCTCTGTCTCTTTAAAAACTCTTGTGAAACTCCATCTTCAGAAAATCATCACAGCATCGATGCTTCTATTAACACTTAACATTTTTAAGTTGCACTGAGAAGTTTGTACAATGAGCTCAGCAGATGAGCAGCTCCACCAGGTGTTTGCTAATTGCTGCTGGGTAGTCTTAAGGAGCTGAGTATTAGAGCTGCTCTGTGATGCAAAAGCTTGGACACTGCAGCTCAAAGGAGGAGTTGTGTCTCGAAGGCAGCAATAGCTCCACCCAGGCATTTGCACAGTTGCCAGGTAAATTAAATTCCATGCAAACATGCATGGAAGAATCAAAGCACCAAGCCAGGTATGTTTTTTATGAAGGAGTAACATTATAACATGATGTACAGCTCATAAAGTAGATTTTACATACAGTTAGGGCCAGAAATATTTGGACAGTAACACAATATTTGTGAGTTGGGCTCTGCATGCCACTGCATTGGATTTGAAATGAAACCTCTACAACAGAATTCAAGTGCAGATTGTAACGTTTAATTTAAGGGTTGAACAAAAATATCTTATAGAAAATGTAGGAATTGTACACATTTGTTTATAAACACTCCACATTTTAGGAGCTCAAAAGTAATTGGACATATAAACATAACCCAAACAAAAAAGTTTTTTCTCAATATTTTGTTGCGAATCCTTTGGAGGCAATCACTGCCTTAAGTCTGGAACCCATGGACATCACCAAACGCTGGGTTTCCTCCTTAATGCTTTGCCAGGCCTTTACAGCCGCAGCCTTCAGGTCTTGCTTGTTAGTGGGTCTTTCCGTCTGAAGTCTGGATTTGAGCAAGTGAAATGCATGCTCAATTGGGTTAAGATCTGGTGAATATATATAATATTCCACCTTTTTGCTCTCATGAACTCCTGGGTAGCTTTGGCTGTATGCTTGGGGTCATTATCCATCTGTACTGTGAAGCGCCGTCCGATCAACTTTGCAGCATTTGGCTGAATCTGGGCTGACAGTATATCCCGGTACACTTCACAATTCATCCGGCTACTCTTGTCTGCTGTTATGTCATCAATAAACACAAGTGACCAGTGCCATTGAAAGCCATGCATGCCCATGCCATCACGTTGCCTCCACCATGTTTTACAGAGGATGTGGTGTGCCTTGGATCATGTGCCGTTCCCTTTCTTCTCCAAACTTTTTCTTCCCATCATTCTGGTACAGGTTGATCTTTGTCTCATCTGTCCATAGAATACTTTCCAGAACTGGGCTGGCTTCTTGAGGTGTTTTTGGGCAAATTTAACTCTGGTCTGTCTACTTTTGGAATTGATGAATGGTTTGCATCTACATGTGAACCCTTTGTATTTGCTTTCATGGAGTCTTCTCTTTACTGTTGACTTAGAGACAGATACACCTACCCTGAGAGTGTTCTGGACCTCAGTTGATGTTGTGAACTGGTCCTTCTTCACCAAAGGAAGTATGCGGCGATCATCCACCACCGTTGTCTTCCGTGGACGCCCAGGCCTTTTTGAGTTCCCAAGCTCACCAGTCAATTCCTTTTTCCTCAGAATGTACCAGACTGTTGATTTTGCTACTCCAAGCATGTCTGCTATCTCTGTGATAGATTTTTTCCTTTTTTTCAGTCTCAGGATGTTCTGCTTCACGTCAATTAAGAGCTCCTTTGACCGCATGTTGTCTGGTCACAGCAACAGCTTCCAAATGCAAAACCACACACCTGGAAATAACCCCAGACCTTTTAACTACTTACTTGATTACAGGTTAACGAGGGAAAGGCCTTTTGAGTTACTTGCAGCCTTTGGAGTCCATTGTCCAATTACTTTTGGTCCCTTGAAAAGAGGAGGCTCTGCATTACAGAGCTATGATTCCTAAACCCTTTCTCCGATTTGGATGTGGAAACTCTCATATTGCAGCTGGGAGTGTGCACTTTCAGCCCATATTATATATAAATTGTATTTCTGAACATATTTTTGTCAACAGCTAAAATAACAAAACCTGTGTCACTGTCCAAATATTTCTGGCCCTAACTGTAATACTTCTCTTATAAAAAATTCTGACTTTGGTCATGTGTTTTGGATTTTCTTCCAAAAGCTTCTCACATCAGTTTACTGGAATTTTGACTGATTCATCTTGATAGAACTGGCGGTTACCTCGCCACCTTGCCGCAGTGAACTTCACTTCTTCTCTGGAACTGGGATCAGGACTTTGTGATGGCCTCTCCAAAACATTAAGCTTGTTGCCCCTCAGCTATTTTGTAACTCATTTGGTGATATGTTGAGGATCATTGTCTATTTGGAAAAGACAACTGTGACCAAACTAACTTTGTGCCAATGTCTCATGGTGTTGCTTTAATATTTCCACAACACATTGTTTCCAAGTCATCTATTTTTTGGAGGTGATCAGTCTCCTTCTCTTAGATGGGCAATCTTTTACTTAGAAGCATTTTATGAATTACTGACTGTAACAGGATATATACCTGAGATGACTAGACCAGTTTGTATTGCAAAGTACTTTTGAGTAGTGTACATACAGGGTTGGAATGCAACACAGTGAAGAAGTCAGGACTGGTGAGGAACTTGGCGGTGGGGGATTGCAGCAGCAAGGAGATGCGAGACCTGGAACTGGCCTGAGCCACACCGTTTTCCCTCCGGAGTTCTGAAAGGCAAATGAGAAACGTGAGAAACAAAGAAAGCAGACGGGGGGGGGGGGGTAACAAAGCCTCTTTTTCTCATTTTGTCATGTTGTAACCATAAACTGAATCCACAGTAAAATACAGTCAGGTTTCCTGCTCTTTCAAGTGGGAAAAAAGATCTGTTGTTTTAATCTTTTTTTTTTTTTTTTTTTTTTTTTTTTTTAATTAAACAAACAAAACCCTTAGAAAATGGTCTGTGTAAATGAAGAACCACCTCTTACAAGTGTTTTGGGATGGATTTTATTTTTACTCCCTCACAGTCTGTCTACACTCGATTTCTGTCCTATCACGCTACTCTGAAAAGTCCCAGATTATTGAGGACTTGATTTGCAACAGGTGGGTCAGTCAATGATTAGGTAAGGATCACCTGTTGGAGCCTTCTTTAGTTTTCCTGGTACAAATGACTCAAAGTGTTCTGGAGAGAAATTTTGAGGACACAGATTCAGTTCTTGGGAAGACATTTTCCACACCAGCCTGGCACTGCCCTCTTTCATGTGGGAAATTATCCAGATTCGCCTCATTTCTTTTTTTCTTTTCTTTCTTTTTAAATTACAGCCAGTAGTGTCACAGTGTGGCATTATCGAAAATTATACCAGTCAAGCGCAGGATGATAAACAACTACTCAGGTAAAGTTAGCCTTCCTGTGTTTATACTGTAAATTCCAGAATAGAATGGATCATTATGCGTCATCAACCCATCGCGTGACAAAATGGCGACCGCCATGGGTGAAAAACATAACAAAAGATATATATATTTGAAGTAGTTATGAGTTTTGGCACATCATACACTGCATTTTTTAGTTCATTGGAAAATTACAACATATGTAGAGTAACATGTTCAATTAATCCAACATTTTCTTTACACTGTTGTCCCTCGTGGGGTCAGAGGCGAACGTTTCGGTTGAGAGGCGGGGTCACCCTGGACAGGTCACCAGTCTGTCGCAAGGCAATAATCCTAGATCCCTTTAACATATATTTACATATTTTTTAAATGCTCAATATTAAGATTTTTTTTCCCACAATGATAAATTAAAATTATTCTTATTAGTGAAATTATAGTCAAACAAAAAACATGCAATTAAGAATCATCTCAAGTAATCAATTTAAAGTGCATTGCCACAAATGTCAATGAATTATGAAAATAAAATATTTCATTATCAAGTCTTTGAACAAACAGGAGCAGAGGGAGAGGAAAAAGATAGGAAAAAATATGTAAATATACTACACAATATGAAATTTAACCAAAAGTGCAGGTACATTTTGTTTAACAGTTTGTAGTAAGATGGGGGGAGAAATGACAGTTAGACCAGGGGACAGAGGAAAGTAACACCGAGCAGGGGGTGGGGCTGGCGCGCACAATACGGGATATTTTTGGACCACCGCGAGAAGGAGGGTAAAACGGGTAGTTTTCCAGCCAAAACAGGAGACTTGAAAGGTATAGACTGTACAGAAATACACCTCATCATTCATATTTGAAACTTTTAATGCAGTTATTTTCCTTACAATTCCCAAATGTGTTCTAGTTTGTGCAGATTAAAAACATGCATTGTGCTTATAACATAACAAAAGGTAGTAAGTTGAGTGGTGTACTTTAACGGCAGAGTATGGCTGGAGTGCTACCTGGAACAGATGGATGCATATCAGTCTCATCCCCAAGCAGCTCACTGGCTGGCTGCTCCTCCTGTCTGCTGTCATTTGTTATCGTCCTTCGGATACGATACCTGCAGATGTGCAAGTCAATACAAAATACTAGCTACACATCTTGTAAGGGTGGAAAGATTAATAGATTTTTAAAATCCTTGTGGCATTGACTTTCATGTTTCCTGTGACTTCATGACCCGGTTGACTTCATTTTTGCTTCTAATGAAGTAAGAATTTTAGTTGCCAGCAATGAGTGGTGATCGATCAATCAGAACAAACCAGAAACCTTAGAATGAGAACAAACTCCTAAGTTTTTTATTTTCACTGGAACTCTGTGAACATGATGACGACCACATATGGAACTGAAACTGTTGGTGCTGACCTGCGGTTGAGCTGTTCCATCTGCTGTATGGAGCTGGACCTCTGTAGAGTCTGTGGGGCTGGGGGAGCAGTAGGACGCTGCCATGTTGTTGTTCTGTTCACATGATCCACATAAAAGATGCGACCATGACTGTCAATGCGAGCCTCCCAATCTGAATTAGGAAGATAGTGAGAAAGGTTGCAGACTGATAAACACAAATCACTTAGAATGTAACAAATGAATTAATGTAAAGGAAAATGTCATAGTCAAACTTCAGCAAACACTTAAGAAAATGGAACTTAGAGCAAACAAATACACTTTTTATACCCCTGTTTCTGTTGAAACATTACATTTTATTTCTGCTCATTGTACCTTAATGAACAGAAATTAGGGTACAATTTCTGTCTCGTTACAGAAAGTAGTAATGAGATCTACTCATTTTAGTTGACCTGTTTTATTTTATTAAGCTAAAATAAAACAACTTCAATGTTAATTCAATGTTTCTGCCTAGCTATATTTCAACAATGATCCATATTTTGCTAGCCGGGGTAATGTCTTCCCACATATTTATTCTGTTCTTGCTTTTTTCCTACTTAATTGTTTCAGGTCATTTTAAATCAATGTATAATTAGACAAAGATCCACTGATCATACTAAAGCTGTTTCAAATTATGGGTTTTCCTCTGTGAAAACTGTAATTGCCCTCAAGAACAGAGCCAAAACAAAGTCATGAGATGTACCAGCATAGAATAACTAATAAGCAATTTGAAAATTGCGCTTCTCCAAAGAACCACAACGTATTAATACTATTTCTGCTGCAGTTCATAACTTCTGCCAGAAAGTGGCCAGTTTGTCATTCTGAGCAGCAGTCAGAAATGGAGTCAACTTGTCAACCTGCAATGAAGCTCAACTTATGAGTATTCAACTCATAAGTTGAATACTCATTAACTTATGAGTATTCCTGTATATTTTATGTAGGATATGCAAACACCTACTAGGAGGCAGAGGCTCATCTACTCTCTGATAGCGGCTGATGTCATGGCGGACAGAGGGAAGGGACCGAACAGACTGATGACTGTTGACCTGAGCTGTGGCACCTGCATTAAACATACAACATCTGGATCAATTGCTAATCTAAAACATATCATTTTAGCTGCTGATAAATTTTAAGAGTACTATTATACAGTTCAGTAATATATTGGATACATTACATAAAACACGGTGTCATGACAGTGACATTGAATCATACCCAACTTTTCCTGTTCGATGTCAATTAGAATTACATCAATAGTTTTTTGCTAGATGTCAGAATAATGAGAAAATAATTTCATTACTTATGTCATTTTCAGAAGTTGACTAACTGAGCTAAAAGAGGTTCTAATTTTACTCTTTCTACAAGGAATTATCTCCTTGTACTCTGGCTTCCCCCACACTAGAAAAAATGACTGAGGTTAATTGGTCTCTCTGAATTGCTGTCCAGATTTCCCTGTGATGGAATGGCAACCTGTCTAGGGTGTAACCCGCTTCTCACCTGATGACCCATGGAATAGTCAAAAGGTCCCCCGTGCGACCTTTCAAGATCATTGGAAAAGGAGGATTTGGACAGTCTAAATCTAAAATAACTGCAACAGACTGGCGACCTGCCCTGCCTCTCGCCCGGAAAGTAGCTGGAGATAGGCACCAGCAACTCCCAACCCCACTAGGGACAAGAATGAACAGAAAATGGATGGATGGATGGAAATCTAAAATAAAATAGCTTCATGACTCTGTAGGCTTATATATCTACTATTACTATTATTGGGGGTTTTATGGGTGTTTACAATGTGTAGTTCAGAGTATTGGTAAAGGATGTGGGTTTAGGTTTTACTGCATCACTTACTGCAGAGAAGTGATTCTTCTCTGCAGTAATAAGCATCACTTTCTCTGATTTTAATAAGGCTCTGCTCTCTAACTATTCCTCCCTGATTTTTGTGTCACTGGCATGGACAAATGCCATGCAGGAGTTTGCTCAGAACATTTATCCTAAAGGAAACTTGCAGCAAAAGAAGTAATGGTGAATAAACTGGAATAAGACTGGAAATTTCACATATACTAATATACTCAACACTGTTCCTTCAGTGTAAAATGATTAGACAATATTCAGCTGCAATATGCATATTATCATCAACATTGATATTGTGTCAGTTATGATTGAAACCCTTATATTGATTCAACATGCAAGTCATCGACCACTTTCAATATTATTTTAATGTCAAGCTTCAACGTTAATTCAATGTTTCTGCCTAACTATATTTCAACGATGATCCATATTTTGATAGCTGGGATATTGTCTTCCCACAGATTTATTCTGTTCTTGTTTTTTTTCCCATTTAACTGTTTCAGGTCATTTTAAATCAATGTATAATTTGAAAAAGATCCACTGATCATACTAAAGCTGTTCCCACAGAGTGAAACTCATAATTTCCCTCAAGAACAGAGGCAAAACAACGTCACTAGATGTACCAGCATAGAATAACTAATAAGCAATTTGGAAGCTTTTTCCTCCAAAGAACCAAAATGAGAAGTTGAATCCACAAATTGGGAAAACATGGAACACAGGAGAATCTTCCCAGAACTAGCCAAAATCTAGTTCCAGGCAAATCAGGTTCCAGTCCCCTCTACACCTAATTCCAAAAGAATACTCTCCAACAGTCAGGCCTAGGAAATGGGCCTTGTGAGGAGCCGTTGGAAAGAGCCTGATCTTTCCATGCTTCATGCATGTACCCTATTGGGGTTGGTACAGTTATGTGTGGGAGTTTCAGAAAGGGGCCTCTTTTAGAGGTCCCGGACCAGACTCCTGTGCCTACTTCAAACAGTTTACTTACAAAGTATTTCTTTCCATCTTGTTTTTGTCTTTATGCTGACCTTGAGACTTGACGACCCAACTTGCTCTTGCCAATATATCTGTTAGTTGTTGCTATTCTTCCTCCATCCTAATGTAGATGTGATCAACTGCCAGGTGCTAGACTTGAGTTTCTTGCTGGGGGGGCTCAGTACATGTCAACTTGGCGTAGACTTGTTCATCAGACACTGGAACGATTGCTGCGCCAACAGAGTAGACTCTTTATAAGGGATGATGACCATCCACTCTGAAACTTGAACCTGACGGGTGGTGCTTGGGTCGGAGGGCATTCTCACTCTGTGGGCCAGGCCTCCTGGGACTTGCAGCACCCTGTCGCGAAAGGTAGACTCAGCTGTTACCCAGTATAGGGCCAACTTTTCTTTGGATCTTGGGGTATTACTCCCTCATGCGTCTATTTTGGTGGTGTAGTACTACAGATCTGATTTGCACACTCCACTCTCTTGTGGTACATCTGGTAGGTCGACTGTAGGGACGGTGGCATCATTGATGACCTCCAACACCGGATGTGGCCAGGTAGTTAACTCCCAGGAGCCTTTCTATCCCCCTTCTATTGCGCGTTCCTTGGTGTCATCCGGGAGCATCTTCAATTCCTGGTGGGTGACGGCTAACCCATTTTCTGCAACAGCCTGGGTGGTGTTTCCTGGCAGATCAAGTGACCTCAGTCCTTGCACACTCACCACTGCCCATCTCATCCCTTTGTTGTTGGCGGCAATAAGTCCCCGTTTGAGTCCCAGCCAGAGTTTTTTTCCAGTAGGCTTCAATGTAATCACCTTTCTTGTAGGCTTCCACCAAAACTAGGGGCACCACGCAGTATGGGAGATTATAGCCATTTATCATGGGAGATTATAGCCATTTATCATGACTATATCCCCACTAGTCTCTTTGCTGTTGGTGACCCTCGGAAATTTTGCATCTTGTTGATAACCTTGTCTGGCTGTGGTTATCAGGTCAACTCTAAACTTGCAATTGTGGATCTTGTATCTGTTGTTGGTGAACACTATCAGGCCATCACCCTCAATGTCCCAGGGCTTTCCAATCAGGCAATAAACTAAGTCCTGGCTGCATTCCAAGGCAGAGAGTGCCTGACCGTAGGGTGCCAACTCCCGGGACATCCTTCAGATGCCTGACTTCTGAGTTACCTTTCTGGGTTTGGTGGTCTCCCACAGCTTCCTCCAGATAGGGGTGCCGACGGTTTTCTCTCTGTGCTTTGGGCCACTGGAGGGAACCCACTCCCTGGGTCCTGCTGAGGCAACCACTTTTTGACTGCTTCCTCCAGCTGCTGCTCAGTTAACAGGTGAAGGGGTGCTCCTTCGTTGTTCTCTCTAGGGGAGTTTTCCTGGTCCTGGGATGGACCCGGTCGATCTTGGTTCTCCCTGTCGCCGTCTTCAGTCAGGTCTATTAGGGGCACCAGTTCCAGGTCACCTTGGGGTGTTCAGGGTCTGCTAGGGAGCCAGGATGGGGCCTCTGCCACATCCGAGTCCTCACGATCCGTCCTTATCTCTGATGTTCGCTTTTGCTCTTCGTGCTTCTTATATGCAAAGAGCAACTGCAGAGCCCCGTTGCACTCAGTATAGCCCGGTGCTCTTCTGGCCAAGGGATAGACTAAGATCCCATCTATCCCAGATGCCAAGGTGGCTGTCTTCACTACGTTATCATACTTCGCAGAAGGGCTGTTGATAACACGTATCCTGACTGGAGTCCAGTTCTCAAGGAGGTCAGCCATCTACACCAGGCCATGTCTTGATTTCTATCTTTTTGGTAACCTCCCCGGGCATTGAACGACTCCCAGTCGGTGGCCATCCTTGAATCTGGAACAGTAGTAGGTGCCTGGGTCTCTTAATATGACTTTCATTGACGTGCTTAGGTTGGTCTCATTTTCGTTGAAGTGACACTTGAAAAAGATGCTTCGGTTTATTGCCATCCAGGACTCATCTCCGTATAGTATTAACTGCACTGGAAATGTTCTAATATGCACTCAAAGAGAACGGACCGCTCTCCTCCTTCCCAGTTCTGTCTTTCATGATTGGAGATGTCTACTTCTAGTAGCATTGCTCGCATCTGCAGGAGATTTGGGTCTTCTTCTCCGGTACTCATGTTTTGTCTTTGAGTTGCCTGTCCCCAAAGCCTCTCTTAACGTTATTGAGTAGGGATGGTTTTAGGCTGCTGTGGTTACTGTCTTCACTGTCTGTATCTGGTCATTTATCCTCAGTAAAAGCTTTCCCTCACCTGCATGCTGTACAGTTACTGCAAGGGTTGTGACCAACTGCCTTATCACTCACCACTAACTATTTCCTTAGAGTTATGACACTAAGCGAGTTATTCAGATTAACACATCTGTTTGTGACTTAGAATGTAGGGCTTTTACTGACTGACTTAGAACATAGGGCCCTTCTACTATTATTTGGAACCGCCCCACGTTGGGTGCCATGACTGTTATTGCGCAATAGCCAACCCTGCCCTAAACCTCACAACTCCCTTGGACTGACTACTGACCAGCTCTCTGTCTAACAGGTCCGAAAAGTCTCTAAAACCTGGGTTTTACCCTCCGGTAAAACCGGAGAGACAATCTATGTAAGCTAGTGTAGAGAGACTCGTCTAGCTCTAACTACCTACAATCCAGAAGTTATGACACTTTTCAGTTAAGGAGCAATCAGTTGAGTAGCCCTGACAACTGCATAACTCCAATAACCACTTCTGTTAATGGTAGCCTTCTCTCTAATAATAGCAAGCATTTGTTAATGGCTAGATCAGTTTTAGCGACTTTTTAAGCCACAGGGTCTTTTTTTTATAACTACTAAAGGAAAATCGGAAGCCACCACTTTTCTAGAATCATGTACATAGATTTTACATTAAGTAGAAGAACTAAAACCAATAGATGACTCAATTAATTCCAATGTCCCCAAACCTCATTAGAATTTTAATATATATATTTATTAAGCAAGCGTTGAGCAGGGATAAATGACAACCAAACTAATTATCAATGATTATAAGTAATTTAAGAACAAAAATCAATTTGAATAAAATCAACATAAACTTCCCCTAACTTCTTTTCCTGAACCGTGTCATCAATTTACTAAGCTTATGATTCACTGTTCAACTGTTTTATGTTATCAATTTCAGAATTTACTCACTTTATAATGATTAATACATAAAACATAATATACATTTTTATAATCATCAGTAAATCAACATACAAGATTACTTAAGTCTCTCAGGCCTTTATGATCTGTTTTCTACTTGAACCTGGAAAGAGCTCACCTCAAACCAGTTTCACGACACCTGTCTGACCACTCACAAAAAAAGGCCACTAGAGCAAAAAAAAAAAAAAAACACCCTAAAACAACTTTTGTAGCTCTACAGCAAAAGTCATGATTCAAACAATAAAAAACTGGGTGGAAATAGCCTCCAAGGGAGAGTCCTAAGAAAAAAAAAAAACATACTCCCTGAAAATATGCTGATGATCCCTAAGACTTTGGGAAAATATTCTGTGGACTGGTGCAATGACAATTCAACTTATAATCCATACAGGATGTGCATTATGTTGTATTCAGAGTTAACATATTTATAGATGAAACATTCTATAAATAAGACAATCATACCTACAATCAAATGTGGTGGTGATAGAGTGATGGTCTGGGGGTACTTCACAATTTCAGAATCATGTACACTTCATATACTTGATGGAACTATGACTTCTGATCTCTACAAGAAATTCTGAAGGAGAATGTCCAACCCCTCAATTCAAACTGGAAAGGTCTTTTCAAATTCTGGACTGAAGTCCAAGTGAGATGTGGCACATGAAGTCCCCATGGACAACAACAATACGAGCAAGTTCTTTGAAAGAGACCCCACTTAGATGCTTTCTGGACCCATACTGAGGAAATTAAAATGTTAAGGATGTTCATGAGCACAATCCACAAGCCACAAATGCTCAACCTTGCATACAAACTGAGTAGATGTCCACAGTGACCAGGACTGAAGAGACACCTTCAAGCTTTAGCTCAAATTTGAAAGCTAAATGTCTTCTGAAGACTGTTTGGGCCAATCATGGTGAGGTTTCTACCTCTAAGAACATTGTAACTATAACAATTGTCAATCCTGGTGGTGATAGAATCATGCTGAAGGACAATTTGAGGGGCTGGTGTATTTTGCAAAATAAATGGAAGGAAAAAACAGAAGAAAACTAACTATGTTCTTCAACATCAGATCAGATCTAAAACTGTATGGCTGTTAGGATGTCCTGACAGGAAGATGATTTCAAACCAATATCTAACTTGTTTGTTATAAAATGACAAACTGCTGAGAAAAAGGGTGCTGATGGCTACTTTATAATCTCACCAATCTCTCTATCCTCAAACAATGTCCTGTCAGTCACCCTGGCCCCAGACCTTGCCTGGGTCTGTGCCTGATCTGCAGATGTCTGCATGGACTGCCTCCTCCAGACATCTGTGCCTTTCTGCCCTCCTTCTTTGTTCCCGCCTTCAGCCCTCCTTCCTTTCAAACACAGAACCAACACAACTATATGAGTAACAGAGCTAAATTTTGTTGCATTACTTTCTACTTGCTCAGACAAGCTCCTTTTCCAATTGATGACCAAATCATTTATATGTTAACAAATTATTTCCCTCTATGCATCATGTTCAATGATAGTGTTTACAAATCACATTGCTCACAATATTCTCTTACACACAATTAAACTTCACTTTAGATTTCAAGGAAGAATAAAAGACAGGATTCGTTCAGTTTTTTGATGAATCCCATGTTGTTCATGTTATCATAAGGTTTCCTCATGTACCAGAGTCAGCTGTGGAGTTCCACAAAATGCAGTGCTTGGAACAATTCTCTGTAATACTTATAGCAAAAAGCAGATTTTTACATACACATAAAGGGACATAATATGTTCCCACTCACTTTCTGACATTAAATCAGACTAAATTTGTTTTAAAGTTTAGGTCACTGAAGAATAGCAATATGATGTCATTTTAAAAAAACAACTAAAAAACAAGTATATATAAAAATGGATATTTCTTTAGAGGTTATTTAATTACAATTCCAAAATACATTTCTTGGTATAGCACTGGTCTTAAACTGCATGACTTATATTGCCTCTAAAACAGGAGTTTGATTAAAACCCCCAGGGTTTCAACCCCGGGGCTTTCGATAAGTCGGTCGGTGGAGCCTCTGCCGTGGAGGTAAAGACACACTTGTGTAAAGTCGTGGTGACACGTCCCGCTTGGCCATCACTTGCTGCAGAGGATCACATGACATTGCTTGGCCAATCAGTGCTGCGGGGAATTTAGTGTGCGCAGTAGTCAATGGCTGTCGTAGTTGTTTGTCCTATGGTTTCTTTCTTAATATTTGAATTCATACTAAATATGTTGAGAAAAATATTTTTTGGGGCCAGAATAAAGTAATACCAGAATTTATTGTGAGTTCATGCAGTGTGTTGGTTTTGTTCTTTGAGGAAGGTAATGTTCATGGATGGCTCATTTTGTGCACCAGTAAAAAAAAATATACCTGTCTTGAATTTGGAAAAAAAAAAACATTTTATTTATTACTAAAGAAGGGTTCAGTGAATGAGCATAAGAAACTGGTGGGTTTGGTACCTCAAAAAAGGTTAAGAACCACTGCTCTAAAACATCCTTTATTATTCGGTGGCACATTGATAATATCAACAGTATCTTATTCTACAATGATGCAGAAAAACTAGAGCAAAAAGTCTCTTTTGCTTACTTGACTGGGCGAAAGAGGATATTTGCTACTTTAAGGCTGAACTATTCTTGTCAACAAGTTACAGAAATTTGGTACAACGAGCACACCCATCATCCCCATGTTTATCTGCTTAATTAAGTTGAACTCTTATCAGTGTTGAACATAGTGCTTTCTGCTACCACCAACTCGGTGTATGATGGTTCTTTCCTGGAAGTACTCCTGGACCAGTGATTCTGTACTTTACTATATTATATGTGTGCCTGGCTGTCCTCTTAACTCCTTCTCATGGCAGATGTATGGCCATGTCGGACCTGGTTCTGCTGAAGGTCTTGATGAAACAGAAAAAAAAATCATTGTGTGCTTAAATGTGTCTTCCAACATCTTATGAAACCACTTACCAGCTTCAGAACTCTCTCCTCCTCTGACATCTCTGCTGCTGTTCGGAGCAGATGCTCCAACTGACCCGTTTGCCTCACTGCTTGATGACTCTGCCCCTTCCTCTTCAGCTTTTGGAGCAAGTTCTTTTCTTGCTTCAACCTCCTGATGGCAGAAAAGGAGAGGATTAAAGGGAATGGCAAGGTTCGCCCAAAGTCAACTGTCGACATGATGTCTGTCATTTGTGGACGTTTGTTTTCGCAAAAAGCTTTCAGCTCCCCCTCCCGCTACATTAACATTATGGTATTTTGCTATGTGGAAGTAGTTCAGAGAGGGAGGAATCTCTCTGAGATTTGCAGTTCAGTTCTCCCTCTCTGAACTGCAAAATAAAATTGTATTTATCACATCATCATCATCAAAAAAAAGGAAAGTATCAGTGAGCTGTTCTATGCTTGTATTTCCTCTATTACACACATTTTTTTGCTCCTGGTTTTACTGTTTAGCCCTCCCACTGTCTTAAGAGACAGGCTCATTTAAACCCCAGGAGTTTTTTTTTCTCTGTACGGTTTTACAAAGTTTTCTTTCTGTAGACCATCAGTCTGTGACCCCGCCTCATGGCGCTTCCCTGCTGTCCAACCATGACATCTACCAGTCTCCTCTTGAGCATCGTGCTAAGGCCATGGGAGGTCAAACCTTCGCTCCTTGCAAGATCCAGGTCCAGATATTTGACATTTTTTGCACCTGCTTTTTTAATAAGTTCTTCTTTTGCGCTCTCTGCTATATTGCTTCCTACGTTCTCTGTTTTGATGTCATCAACAAGCATTACAGCGGGTAGTCGGTAGACTACAGATATCTCTCATATGCCAAATTTCTATCATTTCAACCATATACTGTTTACATCACGCATTCATCAAACACACCAACTAAATTCAGACCAATCACACAACAGATTCGCATGGAGAGGGGGGCTTGCGACATGAGGCTGAGAACAAAATTATGTGATTTTAATCACACAACTGAAACTATTAGAATTTATTTTCACAGTTTGGCTCAACCACACAGAGTCCTTTAGAGGAACTGTATATATGCTCCCAGATCCAAGCAGTTTAGTGAAGAGTAAAAAAGTCTCTTTTGCTTACTTGAATGGGTGAAAGAGGACCCAGGGAAGGGCTGCAGGTTCCCATCCTGCTACTCTGATCCTGACAGGAACATTGTGGTACGGAATCTCCCTGTGGATCGGCTGCAGCAGCCTCAGCTCCAGGCTTTTGAGATGAGAAGATAGCCGTTTCTTCAGTTACCTGTGCTGCTCCAGCACACCCATCATCCCCATCTACCGATGCTCTGGTTAGAGCACAAGCTTCGTTTTCCACTTCATCTGGTGCTACTTCATTTCCTGCATTTGGAGGCTCAGTTGAAAGCTGACCCGCAGAAGAAGAACCTTCCTCGGCACCAACTCCAATATCTTCCTTTAAACCTTCGCTCCTTGCAAGTAAACTGCTTACAGAGTCCATGTTCTGCTCTGCACTTGTGTTCTGTGATAGGTCTCTCTGCTGCCCCGCCGTATCCTCATCCTCATCTGAATCAATGTGTAACATGGCATTGAGTCTTGTGTCAGTTGGAAAGCTGGAGCGCAGTTTTGGCAAAGGCGGCACCAAAAGTCGGTCCCCGTGGCTAGAGGGGGCCTCAAGAGCGTCAAGGTAGTCATTGAGGGACACCTGTCGATGGGTGTGATGCCCCGGAGCCGCAGAGGGCAGATCATTCTCTTCCACGTGTCCGGGCTCATGCCACATGATGTTCTCTCCGTAGCAACAAAGGCCATTCACCAACAAGGGGCTATTGTCGGAACCCAGGGGAGAAGGTCCACTTGTGACATGAGATGATGATGAGGCTTGAGGAAGATCTTCATCATCAGATGGGCTGCCAGGGTCTCCGCTGCCCAGGAGATTTCCTCCAGCAGCATCTGGGGAGGCTTATGTAGAGCAGAAGTGTGGCGTGGGTTTCATTACTTCATTACAGAGTTTACAACAAACCACGTTAAATTAAAGAAATATTTCATTGGGATAAAAAATACGGGCTTTTCTACTGCCTCACAACTGCTGATTGGAACCAGCAACACACCTTCTTGTCCGGTGGAAGTGATGTCCACACTGAACTGAAGCTGGCCGCTCACATTGTCTGTTGGGAGGCGGCGACACAAGCTGTAGCTGACCTGGTGACCCCTACAGGCACGCACACACACCCACACACACACGCACCCACACACACACGCACCCACACACGCACGCACGCACGCACGCACACACACACACACACACACACACACACACACACACAAGCTGTTTATCTGGATCTGTGTGAATGGTAAATAAAGCTCTTTAAAATACAGTAATTATGTATTATGCTAGTTAGGAAGTTGAAATTAATTGAGTCTGGTTCCCACTGGAAGGAATGAATGTCTGCATGCTTCAATTAGAATACTTCTGGTCATTTTGTCTGAACCTTTTCCTGAAAAATAGATAAATTAATGTGATAAGGTCAGGTTTCCTGAATTCTAATGGTGGAGTGAGGAGGAATCACTGGGCTACTTCCACAGAATTAGACAGAGAAGCTGGCCGGTCCTGCAGAGTCGGATTCATCAAGCTAATCTATTTGATGAAATTAGATGTGTGCTGTGTAACTTTATTCACGATAAATACATTTTTTCTTACTGTGTTTTTTTTAAATACTATATTTTTTTATTTTATATGCAATAAGACCTGAGCCAAAAACAATGTGTGCCTTTTTTATTTTCAGAACCTCAAATATCTTCCTTTTGAATTCTATTTTGTATTCTTTTCCAAGCCTTTCAGGCCTTTAGAAGTGAAAACCATGACAAATTTTTGATTAGAAGTCAAATATGCAAAGTTTCTTGTTTTTTCACTTCACTTTTTCCATTTAGAAAAATCTCAAGTTTTTCCAATAAAGTAGGATGAGGTGGTTTTTCAGCTGCATCAAAATTAGTGTACAGTATTTTGCAAAACTGCAAAGGCAAACACACCACATGAGTCATGGGATTAACAATTGCACGTTAGTACTCCTGGGAAAATGAAGAGGACAAAAGTAAGTTGTTTAATAACTTATTGTTTGAAACAAACTTACCCATGTGTGAATGTAATTGTGTTTCTTATTTAATGGAAACATTGCAATTGCGAAATTGTGTTTTTTGACATTAGTGGAATGTCGACATAACATTGTACACATTTGTAATGGAAATGCAGTTAATAATAAATATTGAGATGCATGTATTTGTGAACTTTACAAAAGCACCTAACCCTAACATGAAGTATTCCCTGTGGAAAGTGTTCTTTGGTTCCATCAGTTCTTTAGTTTTAAAACCATAATCAAGGCACACCAGCCTGCATGTTTCAGATGTTTCCTTGTTTCAGCACACCTGATTTCAACTGACTGCCGATTAACAAGCTTTTGCTGAACCTAGTTAGATTATTATCTAATTAAAGATTACAACATTATAGTTATCTTTAGGTGCCTAAAGATAACTTAAGTGACGTGTCATTTTAGCAATGGCATGTGTAAAACACTCACAGTGTGCCTTAAGAATCAAAGTCGAAGACAACTGTTTTAGACAGTTCAGTTAGGTTAGGGTAAGTTAGGACAGTTTTGTGTCTGGGTGTGAACTCACTCAACTGTTGGCCGCTCAAGAAGTCTCTGCACGGGGATGATCAGATGACCCAGAAAGCGCTTGATGATTGGTCGGCTCTTGGCAAACTTATCCTTCACTTCAATCTCCAACACATCAGTCATCAGAGCCACAAAGGTATACTTCTACAGAAAAGAGATACAAATGTTTCACCTAGATACTTGACAATTCTTAGTGGTAAACAGGCAGACAGAACAGGCAATAAAACGTTTAATAAAAACTCTAACACACACATTTTTCAAGCATTGGACATCTGCTGATATCCAATGTGTTAAATGCAAGATCAGGGTGAACGAGTTTGTCAAAGCATATCGGTATGCTTACCTCCCCGTGCCACACAGGGTTGATAGTGTTGGCAATAATGGTGGAACGCCTCTCTTGGCCATGGTGAGTGAATTTGGGGAGGCCACTCCTCTTCCCGGGCATGATGGACATCTTCAAGTATGGGTCCGGGTTAAAAAACATCCCCTTCTTCAATCCCACTGCCTGGATATCTGAAACAGTAGTAGTTATAGGCATCTTTCTTGTGAATATCCATGGTGCTAGCATAGACATTATAATGTTGGCTTTCTACCACCTGAAGAACATTTCTAGGATTAAAGAAATTCTAGAAACTCTTTGAAAGATCTCAAAGAAACTCATCCACATGTTTGTCTTTTGTCAAACTGATTGCTGCAACAGGTCTGCCTAAAAAGTCAATGAAACAGGGGCAGTTGATCCAGAAGCAAATCGCCTCCAGTCTTAAGTCCTTGTACTGGTTCCCTGTAGCTCAGTGTTGTGGGCCCACCTTATTACTGAATTAGGCAATTTGTGATGAATTAAATTTACTTTACTGAACATGTCCATCATCTAGCTTCACACTCATACGCCTGAACCACAATACTCATTGTGTCACTGCGTAAGCACATATTGAGTCTCAATTATTACATATTACTCTCTGCTCTCTGGGTTAGTGGAGGCATTGTGTCAGTTACTATGACAATCTGTCTGTGTGTAGAGTAAAGAACAATATAAGTGGCTTAAAGTTGTCTTACGCCTGTTCATCAGCATATTTTCTCTCTGCTCTGGGGCACTGCAGCCACTGTAACTTTTAAACCTTCAATAAACGACAAAGCCTGGACTAATTGCCTCACTGTTTGTAGAATGTGGCAAAATTCATATAACAATCATCAATAGGATGAAATATTTCATAAAGTATAGGAGCTATGGTCTGTTCAATTTTAACAAATTTTAACACTGGCAATTATGTAAGTATAACATTTTAAGGGCAGAGCCCAGAGCACCATTGAGCAGCATGCAGACAAGAAAAGGGAAAGAAAAAAAGCTGCAGTTTGTACCGTTTGGATTTTATGCAGTTTATCTCATTGTTTGCAGTTTGTTATCACCTCATTTTGATTTGTGTACATGGAAATGCAAGTAAGTGATGTTGGAAGTTAGAAATTTTGTTAATTTAGCCAAATATAGTGGTTGTTATCCTTAATAGATAGCATGCTTTATTCACTTGCACATTTGATAAGAGTTACACAACATAGGGTTTTGCCTGTTATATTTATCTAGAAAGAGCACATTTGTAATATTACAGTGATTGAGTCACTGATGCTGTTCTAGAACAATCATCCATAGATCCATCTTCTTGCGCTTATCCGGGTCGCGTCGCAGGGGGAGCTGCCTAAGTAGAGAGGCCCAGATTTTCCTCTCCCCAGTCACTTGTTCCAGCTCTACCAGGGGAACCACCAGGCGTTCCCAGGACAGCCAAGGAGCATAGTTCCTCCAGTGTGTCCTGGGTCTTCCCCAGGGCCTTCCCCCAGTGGGTCATGCCCAGAACATCTCACCAGGGAGGCGTCCAGGAGGCATCCTAACTAGATGCTTGAGCCTCAATTGGCTCCTTTCGATGTGAAGGAGCAGTGGCTCTACTCAGAGTCCCTCCTGGATGATGGAGCTTCTCACCCTATCTTTAAGGAAGAGTTCAGACACCCAACGGAGAAAACCCATTTCGGCAGCTTGTATCCGTGACCTCATTCTTTCGGTCATGACCCAAAACTCATGACCATAGATAAGGGTTGGAACATAGATTGACCGGTAAATTGAGAGCTTCGCTTTTTGACTCAGCTCTCTCTTCACCACAACAGACCTGAACAGCGCCCGCTTTGCTGCAGACGACGGGACTAATCCATCCGTCAATCTCCCGTTCCATTTTTTCCTCATTCCTGAGCAAGATCCCCAGATACTTAAACTCCTCCAGCTTGGGAGCAGAGGAGTTCTCCCTTCTTACCACCGGCGAGGAACAATTTTTCAATTAGTTTGGATCGTTTGCGAACTGCACGAGTTGAAAATTTTAACAAATTTTGCTATTTTGGTGCCCAATTGAATAGAGTCTACTGGACTATCAGGTGTGAAAACAAAAAACTGTTTTGTTAATTTATAAATCACTTTTCGGCTTAAAACAAAAATACATTAACAGCCTTTTGTCATATCAACCTTCAGGACCACTCAGGTCTTCTTGTTGTAGTTTGCTCTGCAACCCCAGAACCAGAATCAAACTCCATACCAACATTCAGCTTTTATGCAACACAAATCTGGACCAAACCTGCAGAAAACAGAAATACAGCCAAAACATTGAGATTTTTAAAATCAAGTCTAAGAACCCAGCTGTCTAGGATTGTATTTGACTAATAATAACTGGAACATTGATCAATATCTTTGATACTGAGTAGTCTTGATTTTGATTTGACAAAATGAAATATCTGTCACTTGTTTCATCATAGCTTATTGTGTTATGTTTTTATCATGTAAATTACTCCAAACTGTCTTGTTTCTGAAATGTGATGTACAAATGATCTTTACTTGACTGTGCAGGTACTCCTCTTACCTGACAGGGTGAAGCTGACAAGTTTCCGACAATGTTCACTCCCTGACTGCTCCTCCACTTCACTTCTCACCTATTTCAAAAACAAACAAATGCATGTAAAAATGATTTTAGTTTAATCTCACTTCACCTTCGAAAACAAAAAATATCTGCTATGATTCTTGCCCGTCTGCCTGCTGTTTTCCTCCTCAGCTCTCACCTCTGCAATCAATTTCATCTGATCCACCTGCATGCTGCTGTGCTACAGTGAACTCATGTTCATGTCATCTACCTGTTCACCAGCAGTTATATTCAGCTCTCAGGCAGACAGTGTCACATTTTGAAAGCCCATGAGTGAGCCCAGCATTTCCTTCTTTTTTTGACCACAGTCACAACCACGTTTTTTTTTTTTTTTGGATTTCCCTCTCTTGCCTAGCCCACCTCGGATATTCAACGAACTTCTGTTCTCTGGTTATTCTGTGTCCTGTGAAAATCTGTTTCCCCTGTATCGGGAGCTCACACTGCAGTCAGAGGCGGATCTGACCATTTTCACGGCGCTTCTGATAAATTTCTCTGTAAAAAAACTCGTTTTATAGAGATAAACTCAAGGTTGTAACTTTGAGTTTAGTCAATGAATGCTGTTAAAGAACAAAACTGTAAAATAAATAAAAAAATGTCTTGTTCTTAGTTTATTTTTTTAAATCGCCAAGAGAATCAGTCTTTTTCTATCTTTTGTCACTTGCTGATACGAGGATGGAAGCTGGCTGATAGCAGCTATGAAAAAGTAGTCTTCCTGAAAAGATGAGTGTAGGTCTTCTGAAAAATTCTGTTCTAATGTAAAACATGACAGATTACAAGATAATCTGTCATATTTCTAGATAATTGGCTCAATCATACTATCACACATAACAATCATTGTGAATTTGAAAACATTTCCTCTTGCCAAAGTTATGAGAGGAAAAACCACATATTTTAGCTGCCTGAAATAATCTGTACTAATAATCTTACTCCATTCTCTCCTGATCCCAAACTGCAAAGGTCGTGGTACTAGTGACAACCAATGGAACAAAACAAAGGCAATTTGGATATGGATGATAAAGTATTAAATCACACACTTACTGGGACTCCTGGGTTCTTCACAGTGATACAAGGAGTTGTTGCTCTTAATGCTCCACTTATTCCATGATAATATTTGAAACAGATCTTTGTCTCAGCTGTAAAGAGAACCCCCCCACCAAAAAAAAAAACATCTGTACATGAAAAGCATTCAAAGAGCAGAAGAATTGGGCTTGTCTGCAATGGTTCTCCCCCCCCCCTTACATTTCCATCAGAAATGTAGCACCACCTACTGGCTGAACAATTTGTTAAGGGAAAATCCAGAGCCAAACCAACCAAGCTATCAGGTTTTCCCTTCAACCTTATGAAATTGAACTAAAATGTAACTAATCAGTCAATTCATGATTTAAAAAATGTAGCCAACTTATTTAGAGATAAAAATAAATAAATATATTTCTGTGCTCCATTAAGATATTTAAAGCTTTGACAGACAATTAACTCTGACAGCTAAGCTGTATGACATGATAAAGAACACTAGAGGATATGGTGCTAAGAAAAGAGACAGTATCTTGTTTCCAGAGGCAACCATTTCTGTGGCAAAAGATAATCTGACAGATTCAGCTGCCAGGCTAGAAGTAATAGGATCTGTCCACTCACATATTCAACCTACTGGGATAGTAACTGCTTTCGCATATTTTTACCCTGCTGACGATGGCTGTACCACCTTCAGAAAAAACTTCAATAATTCATATTAATCATGCAAGCGGGCCTTTATGTATGAAAGACCAAAACTGATACAATTAAAAATAATTATATATAAAGCAGAAATATATATTTTTGGTTTTTCCTAATATTCCTATTGCATATGTTTTCAGATGTTGGTAAACTGTCACAGCAGACCATCCTGTGGGCATTTCTTAATTCTGCCTTCAAAGACTCCCAGTGGGTTCACAACTTCAGGATGCGCAGAGACCTTCACCTTTCTGGAGCAGGGAACCCAACCCAAAAGCACTGATGGCACATTAAGTAAAAAGAATGTTGCTGATGTCCTTGTAGCACTGGCATGCAAGGACAATCTCTATATTACTTGTTTTAAATAACTAAATAAATTTGATTATTTCTCATCTGATCAAGTTCAACTAAACTCTATTCCTTCTAATCTTTGTAGTTCTAATTTTAGTCAAATCTCAATCATTATAATGGATTGTTTGGGTCTTGAAGATTTTGTTTGTCTTGCTAACAAGAAAATAGACAGCACTCCTCATTAGCATTTTATACATATCTAATGGTAGTGACATAATTATTCATAATTCAGCCATCAGAGATGTCAAGAGTCTTATTCAGGCGATGGAGCAACAAGCCTCGTATGGAGCAGCTACAACTGCGACGTTTTGGGGAAACTGTAATCGGCTATTTTACAGAACAGTGATGGATTCAATGTTTGAATGACACACAGATTTTTATGAACTGTGTGATTCCTTGAGAGCTCTTGTGCAAGAATAAAACCAAAACCACACCATCATCCTCCTACTACTTTCTGTCGTTTTCTTTGTGGCTTTCGCCAGTAGTAACATCCAGTTGTTGATCACATGACTCATGTGATGTGAATAAAGTGTTTCCATTGCAGTTTTGTAAAATACATCAATTTTGACAACCGAAAAACCTCCTCATCCTAGTGCAAAACCGTTTTAGCAAAAAACTTTTTTTTATGGCCATGTTTCCATTAAGCAAATGTATTTTCCTAATTTCAATTTTTACAATCCTATGGTTTTAATTTTAGCGACAGTCCTGTCTCTGAGGTAATTCTCCTTCAGACCCACTGTTAGCATGTCTGTGAAGTAACTAGCTAAACACTTGCAAGAGAAGACAATAAATTCACCAAATTCAATGGCTCAATTTGGTGAATCACAAGTTGCTTTGTGTAAAAACTCAGAACAGTATAAAATAGGTTATAATTGTGGAACAAAAATTAATTATCTACAATATTTAAGCTTACATCTCAACATATAAAATATTATGAGTTGTATAAGCTGTTTTTCTACTTCTCTCTCCTATCCAGCTGCACCTAGTAACTCATAGTCTTATAGCACAGATCTCCTTTGTGTAGATAAAAGGGAGGACCAAGGGCAGTGGCTGGGAAGGGAAGAGATGACAAATAGTTTGTGCATCCCCACTATGGGAACAGGATGAGATGCTCAACTTATCTGAGTGGCCTTGGAGGAAGCTAGGTAAGGATGCCTCCCCCTCTGGCTGTCTATTTGGTTCAGAGTACCCGTTTATGTTATGTGTCCTAATTTAGTATTGGGCAATTGAAACGATTCCCACTTCCTGTGCGCCAAGGAACTGTATATGACTCTGTGATTGTTTCAGCCTCCTCAGAACACACCTAGAGTTAGCTATGATTTAAAAAAATTTTGTTCTGCGCAATTTTGCTGTCTCAGTCTCATCTCTGGAAAATCTGTACATTTCAACAATTTGGACCCAAGGTTCTTCAATGCTACTCGGTTTTTCAGCTTCAATATTTTAAACAAAATCAAAATAAGAATAAATAACTAAAAAATATATCTGTAAGTTCTGCAACTCTAAGAAGACTTGCCTTAGATAATAACAATTAGATGATGTTCGTTTTCCAGTTGTGGATCAATTCCATAATCAAAAAATCTGATTCCATACAAGAATAAAACAAATGAAGCAAAAAACTAATTCAAATCTTGCTAATCTGTTTTTAAATTTAAATGCATATTGCTCTGCTTTTTGACCAGGATTTACTTTACAGTGATATTTTTTAGGAACCTTTACTGCTGAAAACCACAAATATTTGAGTCCCCCACTAAAAATATCTATAACTGCCTGTTTTAATAGTACAACATTAATATTAATATGTTTTTATAATCACAGTAGCAGAAACTGACAGATACAGTTGACCTTATCTCTGCTCTTGAGGGTTAAATCCAATCAGTGGCTTTCAAAATGAATGTTGCTGATGGATTGACTGCTTTGTAAATGCCAGTCATTAGCATTTTCAAGTAGCGTTGTGCCTTGGTGTTTCAGCTTCCAGGTGCATTGTCTTCTGAATATTTTACATACATTTATTAAAGCTGCTAATGGGTAAATTTTGGACATTTTGAAGGGATCTAGTTAAAGGCAGGACTTGCAAGTAAAAGGTCAAACTGAGATGTTTGTGTGCACAACATAAAGATTTTAAAGTGTTATAAGAACTGGCTTTTTAATGTTTTTTTAAAGTAAAACTACTAAATGATAATTATCTGAGAGAAGTAATTCCATCATTTTTTCCCAGAATTGATCCTTTCATGGGGATGACGAAATGGAACATTATTTTCAATAATGGATTTCAAATAATCCAACAGTTTAACAAGCAAGCTTTTTTACAGGTCAACAGCAAAACTGGAGTAGTGCCCCTGATTAAACTCGCTTACCCTCCATGAAGTAGGGCTCAGGCTCCAGTCTCCACAAAACTTGTCCTTTTTGAGTACCATTTACTCCACGGTTCTTGGACTCCCAGACGTTGGCCACACATGTCTCATCTGTAAAAAAACAAACCCACAATGTAATTTATTAAAAAGTTGTATTTTAAATGCAGGAATCCTGAATTCAAACATTTATTACAAAAAGCAAATTGTCATATTGACTCCTGATTTTTACTAAACATAAAAAATAACACTACCCACATCTGTCCCGAACAAGTAAAAAAGAAAGCTTATTAATTTATATTTGGTTTCATAAATCCTGATAAAACTCCTGTGTCTGTCTGTTTGTCATCATAGATGGGCCATAAATATTAAAACTTAAATATTTAAACTTTGGTCTGATGAGATTAAAATGAAGAGTTTGCTCTCAGATAAAATGCTATGGTTGGAGGAAACCACACCATCCAGCTTGAACAGCTTTCCAAGGAAGAATGGAATTAAATTGCAGATATGCTAGTCTCATTGAGACACACACACTTCATGGAGTGGCGAGGACAAAGTCCCGATTTTAGTTCCAGAAAATATCAATGGGAAGAACTGCTGATTTGCTCTTGAAACATATCATAATTTGATTCAGACAATATCATCCTCTCCCCTGCCCTCCTCGCTGCTGATCCCGACGATCTCTCCCCACGCCCCAGGTGACCTGCCATCCTGCTGCATTTCTCCAGGCTCGGGTCTGGAACCCTCCCAACTAGCTTTTCTCGCCACTTTTCTCCCTCCCCTCCGTTGCACTCTCCCCCACCGTCCGTCTCCGGCAAAAGATCCCGGAAATCCTCCCCTCCTCTGACCAAGCAACGTTGGGGCCGGCCGTTACCACCTGTGCCCTTGAACCGACCCTCCCAGACCCTTCCTCTTCCCAGGCCCATGCCCCGTCCCCACCTTCCCTGGCTCCCGCCTCCGCCCGGCCCTCACGCCACCTCTCTGCCTTGTCCCACAGATCCAAACCAGCCTCCTGTGGGCATTCATCACCTTACTGAGGCTTTCATCTTATCCATGAACCTCCTCAGCTCACCTACAGAAATGCACTCAAGCTCCAGCTCTGACTGTCACTCAACCCGACATCCAGCTTACTCCTGCCGCATCACCCTCTCCATTGCCCGTTCAGGTTGCGCATCTGGTAAGATGTATCTTTTCGTTTCACTTTCAGGGCTTTGCAAGCATGCTGAATACATCGTTGCATCTCTCCATTCCCTGTTGAGGTGGGTCCTATGTGCCCACGTACGCACTCATCTCCCCCAAACTTCGATCTGAGATCCTTCAGGCACAGTAGGTGAATCTGGTCTCACTGATCCTCCCGTCCCCTTCCAAAAGTTGCCTCAATGGCCGGACTCACTGCTGTTTTCAAATCTGCCTTTCCAGAAACCTCTCCATTGGAGAATTCTTGGTGGCCTTCAGCATTTATCACGACGTTCTGTGCTCTGTCTACCCTGACCGCCAAATAGAGCTTCACTCTTACCTATCCCTTATAGCTGACCTCAACCTCAAATATAGCAGGTCACTGTTTTATCAATATCATAAAGCTGCGACTACTCTCTCCCAGTCCGGTGTCTTCTGGACTGATCAGTCGTAGATACAGAACTGTTGGTTATTCTTACCCAGGCTTCCACGTGTCTCACCTGCTCCGCAGTCAGCCACCAGAGTGCTCTCTGCCCCACACTCCTGTTCGCCCCACCCTGCCCGCTGACCCCCTCCTGCCCAGTAGGCCCGCCGCTTGATCACAGGGGACGAAAGGTTGAGGTATTCAACAACTCTCCCATATGTAATAATTTCAACGAAGGTGTTTGCACTTTTCCTAATTGCTTTACCTTCATGTGTTCAGTCACTGCAAAGACGGCCATCCCAAATGGCCTCTCTACCCCTATTATTATTCATGAACTGGCCCTCCTTCTCCAGTTCCACCCTGACTCCACCTTCATGAATTTTCTGCTCACTGGCCTCTCCCAGGGTTCTCGCATAGGCATCCAGTTTTATATAAGTATATATATATATATATATATATATATATATATATATATATATATATATATATATATATATACACTTTGCAGGTCACTGGCCCACAAGTAGTAGGATTCTAGGATTGCCCACCCCTGGTTTACAGGGGTGGGCAAGCCTTTACATTTAGAGTTTCAGTAGCTCACCGATGTGATAAAGGCCGATCCAATCAGTAGCATCCACTTCCTCCTTTATGTCCCATGAGATCACCAGGTGGCCTTGGCCGAGAGTCAGTTGGTATGTGGACGCCGTAAGTGATGAGCGACTTTCAGAGGTCACAAGATCTGTGTCACTATTGGCCCTCTGCAGTCCCAGCCCGGCTGATTCCAGCTGGGTCCCGGATGGCACAGAAGAGGACGACGAAGCTGAGGATCCCGCTGTTACCTGTACCGACAAACTGCTCAGGTTGTCCAGTCCCACTGTGTACGGCCGACTGTGCGGAGCACGGCGGCGCACCGCCAGGAGGTGCTCCTGGGCACTGCTGTTGGACGCCGAGGCTGTCTGTAGTGAAGGCGATGCAGAAGAGGTGGATGCTGTGGCAGTCGCTGCCATGCCCACAGCTGGGGCAGAAGAGAAAGCAGGAGGTAAAGTGGGACTGAGGGCAGTGGTGATGGAGGTGAGGGGGGAGGATTGTGTGTAAGGGACGGTCGATTGGTGGAGTTTAATGGAGTGGGTTCAACAGAAAAAAAAAGGAATTGTTCGTATCTAACTGAAACTAAAGAAAATTTTACAGTTGGGAAAATCCTGCATAACCATACAGATTAGGATTATCTAAACAAGGAAGTCTTTGGTGCTGCTGGTATTCCTTTATGAAAGGGAAAAGTACTCATGTTCAATTCATTCAAATGGTCATATGGAATTAAAACTATAGAACTATAGGACCTACATAAAAGCTTCATGTATATCATATTTGCTTCATATATCATATTTGCTTCATCATATTTGTTATAGATGTCTGGCAGTGAAGAGCCAAACTGTGGCCTTCCTAACCTCAGCAAACATGTGATTTCTCCATGACTCCTGGAGAACAGAATGACAGTAGCTGAGATGGGGAATTAAGGAAAGAGAAGCAGAGAAATTCAGAATTATTCAACTCTTCTGTCCAGGTAGAGAAGTCTGAAGACAAGGTTATCCATACAGAAAGGAGGCACAACCTGCAGGAGAGAGGGAGTGAAGGATGAAGGAAGAGAAGAAGGGACATAATCGGAATAATTCTAACAAATATTTTCAACACACTAAGTCAAATCAAGCAAGAAAAATACTGCATACAATGCTACAGGATTATGTTTTTCTAATTGGCTGAGGTTAAATCAGATTGTTTATCACCCTGTTAATACCATTTCCATTACATAACAAGATAGTTGCGTTATGCTGAAGGTATGTCTTTCTTCTGGTCAGGTGGATGAGAAGATGAATTAAGTTAAATACAGGAGATCAGTTCCTCTCTCAGTAGGACAAGAAGCAAAACCACATGGCCTGAACTACGAAGCAGCAGTTTAGACTGAATCTTATTTATAAGTTAGAATGGCCTTGTCAAAGTTCTAACCAGTTGAAAATACAGGGAGAGGTAGATCTCTGTGGGGGTTTAATACAATGTAAGCTACAATCAAATAAAAATAAATTCTAGTCTGTGGGTGTAAATGAAAGCTTGTTTATTCAAAAACCTTGGAGCTGATATGAAAAACTTGTCTGCCTTGAACAAATACTTCTCTGCTGGGTTCTCAAAGAAACATAAACTTTTGGCAACTAGTCCTATAGCGTTCTACCAAATTGTTACAATTCAACCAAGGTAGGTACCAAAACTATCCAAGGTTACCCCCAAAGCTAGGTGGGCAAGTAATGCCTGGGCTCCCAGGCATTACTTGCCTGGGAGCCCACCTTGCCTAGGTTGAAACTAGGCTTGTAGTTATCACATTGAACTGGCCAGGAGGGTGAGTGTGTCATTTGTGCCATCAGGCTCTGTTACAGAAAAAAACATTTAAAGTTTGCATTGAGCACAAGTGAGGTGTGGCTTTTATACATATGACGTATAGCTCAGAGAATAGACTTTAAAATACTGATAGTTTATAAATCACTAAACAGCTCAGCATCACAATATATTAAAGACATGCTGTTGTACCAACCATCCAGACCCCTCAGGTCTTCTGGTTCTGCTCTGCATCCACCAGAACCAAAGCATTCAACTTCTATGCACCACAAATCTGGAACAACAACAGCTGAAATACTGACTTCTTTTAAATCTCGACTAAAATCCCAGCTAGTTAGAGTTGCTTTTGAGACCCAATCATGAAACATTCATCAATAATCTGATGTGCAAAATGTAATGTTATTCGCAGTGTGTTCTATGACTTGGTATTTTTGTGTTTTTATTATGCAAAGCACTTTGAACTCAAATAAACTTTGATTGATCGATTGATTGATTGATAGATTGATTGATAGTGCAGTATTCTGTGGATTTTCTTTGGAAAATGAATGTCCCATTACATCTGGCATAAAACTAACAAATAGCAGAAAAAGAACATCATATACTTAAATGGTGGTGGTAGTATGATGTTTTGCATTGTTGCAAGGCAGCTGTCACTTCAGGCGCCTTCCATGAACCTGCATGACCATCGATGTGTGACCGCAAGCCAATGATCTAACCAACACCACAAAGTCCATCTATGAACAGCTCAAATAAAGAAAAATCAAGGTTTTGGAGTGGCTTAGTCAAAGATCATGGCAAACAATAAACATTCAAAGTGGCTGAATTCAAATAAAGCCCTGCAATGCGAGCTAAAATTTCTTCATAGTGATGGACAACACTCACTGTTAGTTTTTTTTTGTTGTTGTTGTAAATTCTTGATGGCATCCAATTACTAGACTTGGGGCCGTTACTAGTCATTAAGGGACACTAGCACATTGCTTACAACCAAGCAGTAGCCTTGACTCCATTGGTGCAGCAATGCAGCAGATATTTACATTCCTCCTCACACATAAACACATCTGGCAAGATAAGCTTTAAAATAGCACAAGAGTGAACTCAAGTACTGCTATCTAGATGCCTTCTGATTTCACCACAATGTGCTTAAACAGTTTCTACTTCTCCTGAAAATAACAAAACACTATAGCAATGGAACAACTAAAGCATCACTTTTCTTCAGAAATGGAAAGTTGAAGCTCTCCAGGAGATTAAGTGTCCTTGATCCTGCAACAGGGTTAATCCAGGGAATGATGACAGATGATGTTTCCTAATCCACAGCTGTAACAGTTTCAATCTGCAGCTAGAGCCCTGTCTTGTTTACATCGATGTGTCCAGAAAATGTCCACTGATCATTGTGGACTAATTACTAGGGGAACAAGCATAAGAATAGAGAATGGTCTGATTAATATTAGCAAGTGGCATTTATTGTGTCATTCAGTTTCTTCAACTGTTGCTACAAAATAAAAGCTAAATATGTCCATCTTTTCTCATACATCTATACAATTGTTTTATTTATTTGTTTATTTACAGAAAAGTTATACTCAATCTGATATAAAGGGTGAAAAATGTGTCAGAAATTTAAAGCCCCGCCCAAAAAAACCCAAATAATATTTTCTACTTAATTAAAATAAAAAAAAAATACAGGTGTTAATATTTCTTAATGTGTGCAGTATTATCAATGACTGTAAGAACTGTATTAAGACAAATATTATATCCCTGTGATCTTTCACATGATGACTCCTACAAGAAATTATGAGGCACTTTTAAGTTCTTCATTAAAACTTCTTCTGATCAGAACACCTTCCTCCACCTCACCGGTTCCCCCTCAAATGATTTGCCGTAAACTGCAAATAGCTTCCTTATTGTCACTATTTTATAACCACCAGATTTGTGGAGCACACAACTAATACTTTTGTGTCAATACGTTCTCATTATTTTCCTTTTTCTTCACTTCATGAAGTGCTGTTTATGTTGGTCTGTGCAGTAAAATTTGTGACTGTTAACTGAGATGATGTGAAAACGTTCAATGGCTATTAGACATTTTGCAAAGTACTGTAAGTTAAATAGCCAAATTCTAATGAGGTAGAACTAAAATGTGAGTTAGGGTTGTTGTAAACTAGTATTCTAATATCTGAGTAATTTATTGATTATTCTGACAATTAATCAGAATAATTAAATTTAAAACAATTGATAAGATATTCATAAAGAAAATAGTAAAACATAATTTTAACAAGCTTCAAGGCAGATAATTTGCCCGGAGGAATCATTCGAGGAATAATTACAGTCCTATGTTTCTGTCACTCACTTCCACCAAAATGAGAACATAATGTAGACTAACTGCCAGTCAGTCATAAATCCCTAGAAATTCCATTCTGACCTGGCAGGTATGGATTGAATCATTATGAATGGGTCTCCTGGAGCAGAAGTATCTGCTTTTTTTAAGAATGGGACCCAAACATTGCTCTTAAAACTCAATGTCTGGGTTAATGCCATATTTTTCTGGACATTAAAAATATGATATTTACTCAGTCACATGACTAAAATGAATTAGAAATGCTAGCAGCAGAAGGTACAGCTGTAAAAGCACTTATGAAATAGGTTTACGACACATTAATTTCATATACTACATAAAATGACACAAACTTTCAGCTTATTGTCTGACATTTAATCAGACTGAACCTTTCCTACTTTAGTTGCCGGAATAGTGAGAGAGAGATTTTTTTCATATTCTAAAGTTCACATGCCCTAAGATGAGTGTGTCCATAAACAGTTGGGAACGCCCAGATGATGATGTTATGACTTTGAAAGCTTTGTTCTGTTGAAATAGAATTTTAAAGTAGCACAATAGTACACAGGTTAACCGTTTACGTTAAGACAAACTTAGATAAAGATCCAGGCTGGGGCAGCTGGTGATTCTCTGAAACTTACATAAATTTCTAATCAGAAAGCAGTCTGATACTGCCCAAGGAGTGTTTCAGACAGGGAGTGTATTGGCTATCAGGGCAATAAATTCTTTACTCAGGGTTGAATAGTTCAGGCAAACATTAAAAACTATAGAAGTCCGTTACAACATATAATCAAACATATTGGTATATTTCTTTAAGCATTAAAAAGCATGTTTTTAATTAGTTAGTTTTAGATCCAAACTTATAGCTAGTATTAAGCAATAGATTTTGTGCGAGTTTGTTTAAAAATACCAACTGGTTTCTTGTTGAATCATTTTGAGGCAGAGATAACGCTCCAGATGCACGCCGTAAATCAGTCTGGCCAGGAGGCTGGTAAGAGAAGAGCTGGGTGTTTCAGTAGGTCTCAGAGGTAATAAAATTAACATTAAGACAGCCCCCACAAAGGAAAAACAAAGCTCCTAATGCATATATTTAAATTTAGAGAAAGGCACAGGCTTATAAAAGTTTTCATTTGCAACAAAGAATTCGAATTGCTTTCTGCCCGAGTTCGCAATTTCCAGAAGATGCATTTTCTGTCTGTACTTTCTTTCAACTCGTGCAATTGTTTCTGTTTTGTCATGTCTTGGACTTTTGGATTTCTGGGTGAGATGCTTATTGTGACATTCTTCTTGCATTGATTTTCTCTGGATAAAACTCTGAATATCCGAAGTCTGATGTCGTATGATTGCTCTTTCTCACTGCGCATATTCAGGCACAAGAATCCGGGATCAGAGGAATGAATTAACGAGCTAAATCAAGTTATTCCTCTTCATATTCTTAACAGTTCCCAACATTTTACTTCAATGGATGGAGCCACACCGGTGGATGTATTTTAAAGCAATATCTCAAACAAAAACACTGTTTTCTTGTGATACCATTAATACAGTATAAGGAATTGTGGACCTCCACTATTCCAAGAAGAGAATAAAAAACCAGATTGCACTTGATCCAATGAGGCAAACAAGACCAAAGGTATTTTCATGATATATATTGTGGTCTGATGAAACTATAATTTAAGTGTTTTGGACTTAATCACCATTGTTATGTAAGTAAGTGGTGGGAGTATGATGTTGTATGAGTATTTTGCTGTATATTCAAGAGGAAGTCATGAAGAAAATTCTCAAGAATACACAAAGTTAAATCTTAGACACAAATGAGTCTTCCACATGGACAATGTCTCTTGCAAGGAATCAAAGTAGTTGCAAAGTAGCTAGAGAAAAACAAAGTCCCTGTTTTGGAGTGTCTGTCACAAAGCCTTGATCTCAGAACGAGAGAAAATGGTTAAAGTTAGAACTGGAAGGTGTGTGAACCCGAGCATGTCTGTCAGGAGGAATGCATGGGCCAAAATTCCAACAAACTATTGTAAAAACCTGTGGAAAGGATCCCCAAAAACCTTTGACTCAAGTGATACAATTTAACAGGTAATGCTATGAAATAGTGAGGAAATGAATGGAAACCTACTGAATGACAAAGACAATAAAACCTAAAAAATGTATTTCCTTATCCTGCATTTAGGAAATAGAAATAATTTTGGCAATCTTAATTCTTTGCATGCTTTAGTCTGATTTAATGTCAGACAGGGAGGAATAATAGTTATATGTATGCAACAAGCTTGTTTCAAAAGTATGTTTTTTTCAAAATAACTCCATTATTTTCCTAAGCTGTTGGAATAACATGTAAGTTTTGTGTAATGCCCCACCTCACAGACTGGACTGTTACCCCACACCCAAAGTCTCCAAATAGATGTAGCGTGATTGAAGAACAATGAGGTTGTCCCGTAAGGGACGACAGTTTCCTGTCCCAACACAACCATCACATCCCCGTGTGCCACTTTGTATGCTTGGGATTAAATGCATTCCTCTGCTTTTACTCGACACACACCACTAACTTGTCTTTGTTAGTGAGCATTTTACTTGTCTTTTAGCTTTTTATGCTATTCTTTAGAAAGTGCAGAAGTGTTTTTTGTATCACTTCCAACTATCAGTCCAAACAAGAAATGTATATAAAACAATCTTTACTATTTGAACTGAATAACACATTTTTTTTATGATATCCCAATGAACTGATACACCTATAGAGTCTGTGGAGACAGCTCTCTGCAGCTTTTAAAAACTTTCAAGAGTAAAATGGAAATGAATTGTGGTCACTGAAAGGACATGAGCTTAGATTGGACATGGTTCATTTTTCTGAAGATTTCTGTGATTGGTCTGAACTGTAAAAGTTGCAGGCCTGGTCAAGTTTCTGAAAAGCTCTTGGATAAGAGAAAGCTGGATTGTGTTTTACAAATACATTTTTTTCTGCTGCCTTAAATGAGAGTTTCATACTGGTGAGATGAAGAAGCACATTTAATAATGTCAAGTGCATTTCTCCACTCAGCCAATGAATGTGCTGCATACAAAAGCACGCTTTTGTTTTTGTCAGTGCTTCTTCCAGCTTTAAATCAAATCAAATTTTATTTGTATAGCACATTTCAGCAGCAAGGCATTTCAAAGTGCTTTGCATCATAAACACAAAAGCACAAAGTCATGCAACATAGAATAAACAATACATTGTTACATATTACATTTCAAATAAATCTCTAAACAAGTGTGTTTTTAGTTGAGATTTAAAGGAAGTCAGGGTTTCTGCTGTTTTACAGTTTTCTGGAAGTTTGTTCCAAATTTTTGGTGCATAGATGCTGAAAGCTGCTTCTCCTCTTCTGGTTCTGGGGATGCAAAGCAGAACCAGAAGACCTGAGGGTTCTGGAAGGTAGCATTACTTCATCTGCAAGCGACGGTACAAAGAAGCAACAAACCAAAGCAACAAACCAAAGCAACAAACCAAAGCAACTAATCAAAGCAACAAACCAAAGCAACAAATCAAAGCAACAAACCAAAGCAACAAATCAAAGCAACAAACCAAAGCAACTAATCAAAGCAACAAATCAAAGCAACAAACCAAAGCAACTCGTTTTAGCTTGCAGAAACATGAAACATTTGGACGCAGCTGTCAATAAACGAGAATCTTTCAAATCCACAAACTGTCACGGATGCATGAATCTCCTCACCTTTCACAGGAGGAATCAGAAGGTGCTTCCCACACCCTGGTGCGCAGAAAAGATGCCAGTAATAAGTCGATCAATCTCCAGTCAGAAATGGCGGATCTCCACAGGCCTGCACATCATCGGCACCATCCTATGCTTGCAGGCGGGATGTGCGGCTCCTGACACGGGGCGCAGCGCCGCAGCTTCCCGGTGGTCCGACCGCAGCTTCAGGCAGAAACAACTTCAAAACCTTTTCTTTGTTAACGGTCCAGTTTTAAACCACTTCCCATGTCTTTCGCTCTCTCCACGGTAACGTTACGAGGTTCCATACAGGAGACGCGCTGATGTTTTCTTTACAGGATCCACTTTACGTCCGGCTCCCGGTTCGGTCCATTCCGTCCTGTCATCCCGAACTGCTTGAAGCTGGAGGGAAAAGCTGCTCTCCACTTTAAAACATCTGATCAGGAACTTCCAAACCGCCAGGCCTTGATGGAGAAATTCATCAGAGCGGCTCAGCGTCAAAATAACGAAACCAACACATCCGACCTCCACTTCCACCCGGAGTTCCAAAACTGAGGGGCGTGGGCTTCACAGGGACACGAAATATGCTGTGAGAGAGCAGCACAGGAAGAGCAGCACAGGAAGAGCAGCATAGGGAGAGAAAAGGAATAAAAAGTTGAAAGGCATTTTCTATTTATGAGAAGCTACTTCAGTTTTTTTTCTTTTCGTTTTGCATTTAGGAGGTTGGCATTGCTGAACTGGAGTAGGTGAGTTAAAAAGTGGATTATTTCCTGTGAGGAAGTGTGACCAGCAGTAATTTTAATAATAAAAACACTAACTAGAAACAAAAACAAAAGCACTTCAAGCAATGGAACAGGTTGTCTTGTCCAGTTTCAAATCCCTTTCAACGGGCCAGAGGAGTCCTGTCTGTCCAAGCAGCACAGCTCAAAAAAACACGACAAGACCAAACAGCAGAGCATCCAGAGCGTCAAGACCGCTGCAGCTCCAGAACAATCTTGGGCCTAAAACAGAAAACTCATTAGCTGTGGATTCAGGAAAAGTAAATTCAAGTGTCAATAGCAGGTAGCTCACCCAGCAGTGGGAACACAGCCTACCCAGGGAGGGAGCCCATCAGCAGGTCAGCACTAGATGGAGGCCGAGATCTCCTCCAGCCTCTAACAGCAGCAGAGCAACACTGCAGAAACTCACGGCAGGTAAAGCACCAAAGCCACCACAATCCCAGCCACAGATGGTACAAATGGCACTTTCGGGTTCAGATGAGCTGATCAAGCACACAAGCCACTCAGGCAGCCGACATGTAGCAGAGGAAACAAACCCACACATACACACTTTGCTCAGCTGCAAAGCCATCTGCCCCGCCCATCAATCAGCAATGTGCTTCTGGCTGCACCTGGTGCAGAGTGGGGTGGGTGACCGTCCCACCACAGGAGAGACTTACGTCAGCACAGAAACACCTCGTCGAGGAATGGTCTGTCCATAACACCCATTTGTTTGACTGAAATGGTGCTCAATTCATGTTCCTGTTAGTCTGTAAAGCCACATGCTGGGCATCACTGTTTCGTCCATTTGTCTACATTTCATTGACATTTCAAATGTAGAAATCACAAGAGGTGCTGAAGCTGAAGCGGACCAACCGGAGGAAGAAGAAGAGAAAGAGGACAGAGTTGGCTGTAGGAGCTGCTTCTGTTTTGCTGCCACTGCCAGCTTCAGCTGTGGAAGTGAAACCATGAATGACGGTTATCTCTGATCGCTCCGTGAGATCCGGCCTGTTTGTGCTTCTGTAGCCGTGTGTCCGGTCTGCTCTCCTCAAAGAGCCATCAGCATTTAAAAGAGCTGCCAGTTCTGTCAAGCTGATGTTTTTTAGGTTCAAGCGCTTTGTGGGAAGCGATTCAGATTCACCTCACTGTTTGTTTATTTAATTATAGCCAACAGTGACAGTGTGGCATATCTAATATTATAGCAGTCAAACGCAATATGATAAACAACCCAGGTAAAGTTGACCTTTCTGTGTTTACTCTGTGGATTCCAGAACAGAATAGACCAGAACGCTTTATCAATCCAGCAGGTGAAAAAATGGCAACCTCCACGGGTGACAAATATGACAAAAGATACACATTTTTTGAAATAATTGAGTTTTGGCATGTCACAAACAGTATACTTTTAGTTAGTAGAAAAATTACAACATATTTAGGCCAACATGTCAAAATAATCTTGGATCCCTTTAAGACATTAAATTACAATGTACAGTTTCTTTGAAGCCACATTTGTATATTATATATAATATCTTTATAACATTTACTTGAATGAGCTATAAAATGGTACAACGTGGCTGAAAAATACATGTTACTGTCCCTTTGTCACATAATTTATCATGACTTTAAAAACCTGAATCACTACACACTGAAAGATTTGCATTGCTAGCAACTGATTTCATCTAAAAGCCTGCCATTAATCCATATCAATATTTTGAAAACTGCAAACGTCTCGCTGTGACCATTTCCTTGCTGACTTCAAATAGTATCAGTACAGATGGTACAGCAGACAAACCATATGTGTCTGTAATGTGACATATAAAAATTTCATTTAAAAAATAGTGTGGGTTGCTGCCCACATAAGGAGGCCTTAGTCCTAGTTGTGGTTGTTGCAGGTTCAATTCCCGGTCTGGTGGCCTTTGCCCCTATCTCTTCCCTATTCTCTCATTACCCACGTTCCTGTCAATTCACTATCAAATGAAGATCGCTAGAGACAATTAAACCTTTAAAAATAAAAAAAATTGTGTTGAATTAGTGTACCACAATTGATGTACACTGTGGTACATCAAGGCCCTACATTTGTAAAAATTGTGTGGTCAAATTTTCTTTCACATGTTATCTGCATCAACATCAGAGATGACATAGCAAATATTGGCCAATCCTAAATGATCAAGGCCTCCACAGAAATCCTTCCACTGGAAACAATCAATGACAAGAGAACTTTATAAAGTTGCTATGGGGATGACAAAATTAATACATTTATTTTATTTACAACATTGGAACTTTGTACTGTTGTTTTACAATTACAAATAAACTGACATAGTTGTTTCAACATTTTCACTGCAGGTAAAATTAGAAATCCCCTTTTGAAAATGGTTTGTAGATACCACACCTCATCATATAGTGCAATGAGTTCTGATGAGCTGCCGGGCCATCTCCATGTTCCCACTGGCCTGATAGATGAGTGATAAGTTAAAAGCAATCTCTCTCCTCAAATCAACCTGATCTTCTGAAATTCCCTGAGAGAGGAAAGAGATGTTCAGATGGAAACAACCAGACCATCATCAGTAGCTTTCAATTATATGACAGACTAGAACCACACTAAGAACAGAACAAAATCTAAACATTTAACGACAAGAACATCATCATAAAATTATAAGAATAAACTAAAGAGAATAAACTTCCAATAATAAAAGAATAAAGTCATATTATGAGAATAAAGTGAATATTTTGAGAATAAAGTTTTAATATTACCAGAATAAGGTTGTAATGACTCTATTCTCATCATACAACTTTATTCTCATCATTTGACCTTTTTCTTGCAATACTATAACTTTTTTTTGTTTTACACCATTATATTGTTTTTGTTATATAATGTTTTAAATGACTTTATTATTACAAGATTAATGTTGTAATATTACCAGAGTACGGTTATAATTTTATGACTTTCTCATATTATTCTGACTTTATTCTCGTAATACAACTTCATTGAAAACGACCAGCTGTGTCATTCACCTACATCCAGTTTCCATGGAGGTAGCGACAGCGCCTTTTGGTAATAATGTATGGCCAAATGTGTAAGGCCCATTTGGTGCAGAGCTCGGCCCAGATTGTACATGCTCTCCTGACACTCTCCCCGCAGCTCCACGTATCGCCACAAGAAGGAAAATCCCTAAAAACACCAAGACACATTCCAAAAACCCCAATCAGCTGCAGGAAACGTAAGAAAACAACCAGAGCAAAATGAAATGGAACAACATGTACCTGCAGTACTAAAGCATGACGTTTGGCTACATACTTCTGGGATGCCATGTGGAAAAAAGTGAGACCCACATAAAGGCTGTGCAGTGGGTTTTCCGGGTGGGTCTTTAAAGCCTGAACATACTGTCCTGAAAAACACAAACATATAAAACACTTTCAGCATATTACAATGGAGCAACTTCATTAGCATTTTAACCTAAATATACCGTCTTCATGCACCTGCTAAAATGTCAGGTTTCTATATCTGCTGTAAGTGTTTGGTTGGAAAGGTTCTCTCTTTCACTGCATATGGGAGTGCCCAAAGTTACAGCAATATTGGAACTTGGTTACGCAAACCCTGTCAGAGGTCGTTGGCGTGAATGTACCTGCTGAGGCCAAAATGTGTGTTTTGGGTATTTATCCGGAGAACTGTGTTTTTAATTCCAGACAGTTAAAATTGGTTGACTTTGAACTCCTGCAGGCCAGGAGATTAATATCTCTATACTGGAAAAAAAATGGACATCCTTTCAAATCACATGTGGGTGAAGGAGATGACATTGTGTATGGCTCTAGAGCAACTCACTTACATAGTCAGAGAAAAAGGAGCGAAATTTGAAGAAACATGGTCAGTAGTCAGAGATGTCTCTAAAACATTTTTTCCCCAAATTCGAGTCTAGACTCAAGTCTTTTGGTCCAAGTCAAAGTCATGTATGCACTGTTCAAAATTGAAATATTTTTCCACTGACTCTGTCTGCATTCTGCATTTGCTGTAGTTTAGGAATTCTGTTTGTTGCAAAAGCTACTTAAAAATTTTAATCTTGAAATTTTTAGAAATGTTTCTAATCTTTTTTTACATTTAATTCAACATGGTACAAGCTGCTATATTTTATAGTGAAAATTGATCAAATATGTAATGTTTATATATTTATAATAATAAAAAATATAGATAGGCATTTGTAATAAAAAATAACAGATTAAAACTTGTAAAATGTTGAATTTTGTAACATAGGAAAGTTTTTTTGTATTTGTAATAAGGAAGTTAATTTCTGTTTAGATGTTCTACTTTCTTGTTTGTTTTTCTTCTCACTCTATGTATGTGTAGGGTGCAGTGTAGAGAGTAAACAAGAATGTCAAAGTTCTGCAAATCTCTCAGACTGTGTGGACATACGTTGTCCACAATCTTCTTCAAGTGACAACAAAGATTTTTCATCAGATTTACTTCTGAACCTCAGCTGGACCAGTATCTAACTTGAATGTTCTTCTGTTGTTACATTGGACTCACTTTGGCCACTATTTATCTTAAGCTTTCTTGTAAAGGAATGTTTGTGGTCAAAACTGATTGTTTAAAACTTTTAATTATATCCAGGTTATGAAAATATCTGTGAAGCCATCACAGTGATGGAGTCATCTTTCCCCAAGTCCTTACAGGAACTCAGACAAGAAACCAGTTGGGATAAAATTGAAATTTCGCCCAAGTAGAACTTGTAGATGCCCAACATGATGTTATGCATCATTCCAGTCTTACTCTATCTAAATTAAAATGTAATAATTACAGCATCATATTAATTATGATGATGGA